GAGGGGGAAGTCTCATGGTTGTTCTCGAGTTGCGGCGGGAACCTGGGGTATATACTCGAGGTACGGCGGGGATGGCCCTTCAGAACTCGTGTTTGTTCAGCGACGTCAGGCCTACTGCCTAGATATGAGGGACACCTCAGGAATTTCTTCGAGGCTTGGCAGGGCAAAACTGATGCTTCTCGAGGTGAGCCGGGAGACCCAAGGTCGCTTTCCAGTAGACACAGGGATATTGGGATTCCTATCAATGTTCAATAGCAGTCAGGCTTCGTCACTTTTTGAAGCATTGTACTCTGCCAGCCTCTGAATGTGTCAAATGGATGTGAGGCCTCCTGTCGAGATGAGGCCGGGAACTAGGGCTTTCTCTACGATCCCCACAGTGGATACAGACATCCCTTCACCTTCTGAGACGAAAGACGATCCTGCATTCAAGCCACTGCAAGGGAATCTTGCCTTCTTTCAAGGCAAGACTTCGCTGTGTATATTATACTTGTGGCAGAAAACTCAGGGTCACTACTAAATACCTATTGCTGAGAGAAGCCTCGTCTTGAAGTGCTTGAGGAAAGTTGGCATACGTCTTGAGTCTAAGCCAGGGACTCAGCTCTCATCTCGTGACGATACAGAGATCACGGTGCATTCCTCGAGTGGCTGTACTGAAGGTGGTATTCTTCTATACTTGGGACGGTGTTCTCAGGGAATCTCTGGACTTGCCTGAATTAAATCAGGAAATTGGTCTTGTTTGAATGGGAACGCAGGATGGCTCTGGAGTCAATGAAGGGGAATTGGTCCTCATCTAGAGTTGATTTGGTGTACAGGGAACTATTTCGTGTTGCTAGGGGGGAACTCAGGGTCCCTCTAGCCTTGTGACAGTGATCTTGGGGACTCTCTCGAGATCCACCAAGCAAGTCGAGGCTCCTTACATGTTTGATGGGGATCACACAGTTGTTCTGCAGGCAATGCAGAGGAATCCGGCCTCATCTCGCTTCCAGGGGGAAGTCTCATGGTTTTTCTCGAGTTACGGCAGGAACCTGTTTTATATTCTCGAGTTGCAGCAGGGATGGCCCTTCAAAAATTCTGTTTGTTCAGCAAACTCAGGACTCCTGTTTAGTTATGAGGGACACCTCAGGATTCTCTTTGACGCGAGGCAGGGCAAAACGGACACTTCTCGAGGTGAGGGGGGAGGCCCAGGGTCCCTTTCCAGTAGCCGCAGGGATATTGGGATTCCTATCAATGTTCAACAGGATTTAGGCATCCCCATTCTTTGTCGGATTGAACTCCGGGTGCCTCTCGATGTGTCAAAAGGATATGAGGCCTCCTTTCGAGATGAGAAGGTTACCAAGGCTTTCCCTATGGCCTCCACAGGAGATTGAGACATCGATTCACCTTGTGAGATGAAAGATGAGCCTGTATTCAATCTACTGCTAGCAAACCCGGCCTTCTTTCGAGTCAGGGCATCTCGGTGGATATTCCACTTCAGGCAGCAAACTCAGGTTCCCTCCCACATACCTATTTCTGAGAGAGGCCTCCTCTTGAGGTGCGTGTGGATAGTTGGCCTACCTCTTCAGTCTAAGCCAGGGAGTCAGCTCGCATCTTGAGAGGATTCGGGGTACATGGAGCATCCTTCGAGTTGCTCGTTGAACTTGGTGTTCCTCTAGTGTTGGCGCGGTGTTCTCGGGGAATCTCTGGAGTTGCCTAAATGAAATCAAACCAATGGGCATGTTTGAAGGGGAATGCAGGATGGCTCTGAAGTCAATGCAGGGGATTCGGGCCTCATCTCTGGTTGATTTCGGGTACACGGATCTATTTCGCATTCTCCGGTGACCTCAGGGTCCCTCTAGGCTTGTGACAGTGTTCTTGTGGACTGTCTCGAGATGCATCAAGCAAGTCGAGGCTCCTTGAATCTTTGATGGGGATCAAGCAGTTGTTCTGCATGCAATGCAGGGGAATCCGGCGTCATCTCGCTTCCAGGGGAAGTCTCATGGTTTTTCTCGAGTGGCGGCGGGAACCTGTGTTATATTCTCGAGTTGCAGCGGGGATGGCTCTTCAAAACTTGTGTTTGTCCAGGGACGTCAGGGCCCCTGTCTAGTTACGAGTGACACCTCAGTAATCTCTTCGACGCTTGACAGGGCAAAACGGACATTTCTCGAGGTGAAGCGGGAGGCCCAGTGTCCCTTTCCAGTAGCCGCAGGGATATTGGGATTCCTATCAATGTTCAAGACGAGTCAGGCTTTGTCAGCTTTTGAAGCACTGAACTCCGTTTGCCTCTATAGGTGTCAAGGGGATGTTAGGCCTCCTGTCGAGATGCAGCAGGGATCTTGGTCTTTCTCTAGGGTCTCCAGAGGGGATTCAGACATCCGTACACCTTGTAAGATGAAAGACGAGACTGCATTCAAGCCACTGCAAGGAAATCCGGCCGTCTTTCGAGTGAGGGCTTCTCGGTTTATATTCTACTTGAGTTAGCAAACTCCGGGTTCCTCCCTCTTACCTATTGCTGAGAGAAGCCTCCTCTTGAGGTGCTTGTGGAAACTTGGCCTACCTCTTGAGTCTAAGCCAGGGAATCAGCTCTCATCTTGAGACGATTTGGGATACACGGAGCATTACTCGAGTTGTTGTGCTGAACTTAGTGTTCCTCGAGACTTGGGATGGTGTTCTCAGGGAATCTCTGGAGTTGCCTAAAGGATGTCAAGCCACAGGTCGTGTTTTCTGGGGAACGTGGGATGGCTCTGGAGTCAATGAAGGGAAATCGGGCCTCATCTTGAGTTGATCTGGGGTACACGGGGCTATTTCACATTGCTGGGGTGACCTCAGGTTCCCTGTAGATTTGTGACAGTGTTCTAGGGGACTGTCTCGCGATCCATCAAACCAGTCGAGGCTCCTTACATGTTTGATGGGGATCGCGCAATTGCTCTGCATGCAATGAGGGTAATCGGGCCTCATCTCACTTCGAGGGGGAAGTCTCATGGTTTTTCTCGAGTTGCGGCGGTAAGCTGAGTTATATTCTCGAGGTATCGCGGGGATGACCTGGCAAAACTCTCGTTTGTTCAGCGACGTCAGGACTCCTGTCTAGTACAGAGGGACTCCTCAGGAATCTCTTCGAGGCTTGGCAGGGCAATAGAGATGTCTCTCGAAGTGAGGCAGCAGACGAAGGGTCCCTGTCCGGTAGCCAAAGGATATTGGGATTCCTATCAATGTTCAAGAGGAGTCAGGCATCTGCAACTTTGGAAGCAGTCATGTCCACGTGCCTCTCGAGGTGTCAAAGGGATGTGAGGCCTGTGTCGAGATGAGTCGGGGCCTAAGGTTTTCTCTAGGCTCTCCACAGAGGATTCAGACATCCCTTCACCTTCTGAGACGGAAGACGAGCCGTCATTCAAGCCACTGCAAGGAAATCAGGCCTTCTTTCCAGTCAGGGCATCTCGGTTTATATTCCACTTGAGGAAGCAAATTCAGAGTAATTTCCACATAACTTTTGCTCTGAGAAGCCTCTCTTGAGGTTCTTGTGGAAAGTTGCCAAACCTCTTGAGTCTACGCCAGGGAATCAGCTCTCATCTCGAGAAGTTTCGGGGTACACAGAGCATTCCTCGAGTTGCTGTGCTGAACTTGGTGTTTCTCTAGACATGGGACGGTGTTCTCGGGGAATCTCTGGCATTGCCTAAGTGCAGTGAAGCCACTGGTATTGATTCACGGGGAATACGGGATGGCTCTGGAGTTAATGCAGGAGAATTGGGCCTCATCTCGAGTTGATTTTGGGTACATGGACGTTTTTCGCATTGCTGGTGTGACCTCATGGTTCTTCTAGACTTCTGACAGTGATCTTGGGGACTCTCGAGATCCATTAAGCAAGAGGATGCTCCTTACCTGTTTGATGGGGATCACGCAATTGCTATGCATGCAATGCAGGGGAATCGGGCCTCATCTCGCTTCGAGGGGGAAGTCTCATGGTTGTTCTCGAGTTCGGGCGGGAACCCGGGGTATATACTCGAGGTACGGCGGGGATGGCCCTTCAGAACTCGTGTTTGTTCAGCGACGTCAGGCCTACTGCCTAGATTCGAGGGACACCTCAGGAATTTCTTCGAGGGTTGGCAGGGCAAAACTGATGCTTCTCGAGGTGAGGCGGGAGACCCAAGGTCGCTTTCCAGTAGACACAGGGATATTGGGATTCCTATCAATGTTCAATAGTAGTCAGGCTTCGTCACTTTTTGAAGCATTGTACTCTGCCAGCCTCTGAATGTGTCAAATGGATGTGAGGCCTCCTGTCGAGATGAGGCGGGGAACTAGGGCTTTCTCTACGATCCCCACAGAGGATTCAGATATCCCTTCACATTCTGAGACAAAAGACGATCCTGCATTCAAGCCACTGCAAGGGAAACTTGCCTTCTTTCAAAGCAAGACTTCGCTGTGTATATTATACTTGTGGCAGCAAACTCAGGGTCACTCCTAAATACCTATTGCTGAGAGAAGCCTCCCCTTTAGGTGCTTGAGGAAAGTTGGCATACGACTTGAGTCTAAGCCAGGGAATCAGCTCTCATCTCGAGATGATTCAGGGTACACGGTGCATTCCTCGAGTTGCTGTACTGAAGGTGGTATTCTTCTATACTTGGGACGGTGTTCTCAGGGAATCTCTAGACTTGCCTGAATTAAATCAGGAAATTGGTCTTGTTTGAATGGGAACGCAGGATGGCTCTGGAGTCAATGAAGGGGAATTGGTCCTCATCTAGAGTTGATTTGGTGTACAGGGAACTATTTCGTGTTGCTGGGGTGACCTCAGGGTCCCTCTAGCCTTGTGACAGTGATGTTGGGGACTCTCTCGAGATCCACCAAGCAAGTCGAGGCTCCTTACATGTTTGATGGGGATCACACAGTTGTTCTGCAGGCAATGCAGGGGAATCCGGCCTCATCTCGCTTCCAGGGGGAAGTCTCATGGTTTTTCTCGAGTTACGGCGGGAACCTGTGTTATATTCTCGAGTTGCAGCAGGGATGGCCCTTCAAAACTTCTGTTTGTTCAGCAAACTCAGGACTCCTGTTTAGTTACGACGGACACCTCAGGATTCTCTTTGACGCGAGGCAGGGCAAAACGGACACTTCTCGAGGTGAGGGGGGAGGCCCAGGGTCCCTTTCCAGTAGCCGCAGGGTTATTGGGATTCCTATCAATGTTCAACAGGAGTTAGGCATCCCCATTCTTTGCCGGATTGAACTCCGGGTGCCTTTCGATGTGTCAAAAGGATATGAGGCCTCCTTTCGAGATGAGAAGGTTACCAAGGCTTTCCCTATGGCCTCCACAGGAGATTGAGACATCGATGCACCTTGTGAGATGAAAGATGAGCCTGTATTCAATCTACTGCTAGCAAACCCGGCCTTCTTTCGTGTCAGGGCATCTCGGTGGATATTCCACTTCAGGCAGCAAACTCAGGTTCCCTCCCACATACCTATTTCTGAGAGAGGCCTCCTCTTGCAGTGCGTGTGGATAGTTGGCCTACCTCTTCAGTCTAAGCCAGGGAGTCAGCTCGCATCTTGAGAGGATTCGGGGTACATGGAGCATCCTTCGAGTTGCTCGTTGAACTTGTTGTTCCTCTAGCGTTGGCGCGGTGTTCTCGGGGAATCTCTGGAGTTGCCTAAATGAAATCAAACCAACGGGCATGTTTGAAGGGGAATGCAGGATGGCTCTGAAGTCAATGCAGGGGATTCGGGCCTCATCTCTGGTTGATTTCGGTTACACGGAACTATTTCGCATTCTCCGGTGACCTCAGGGTTCCTCTAGGCTTGTGACAGTGTTCTTGTGGACTCTCTCGAGATGCATCAAGCAAGTCGAGGCTCCTTGCATCTTTGATGGGGATCACGCAGTTGTTCTGCATGCAATGCAGGGGAATCCGGCGTCATCTCGCTTCCAGGGGAAGACTCATGGTTTTTCTCGAGTGGCGGCGGGAACCTGTGTTATATTCTCGAGTTGCAGCGGGGATGGCCCTTCAAAACTTGTGTTTGTTCAGGGACGTCAGGACCCCTGTCTAGTTACGAGTGACACCTCAGGAATCTCTTCGATGCTTGACAGGGCAAAACGGACATTTCTCGAGGTGAAGCGGGAGGCCCAGTGTCCCTTTCCAGTAGCCGCAGGGATATTGGGATTCCTATCAATGTTCAAGACGAGTCAGGATTTGTCAGCTTTTGAAGCACTGAACTCCGCTTAGCTCTGTAGGTGTCAAGGGGATGTTAGGCCTCCTGTCGAGATGCAGCAGGGATCTAGGTCTTTCTCTAGGGTCTCCAGAGGGGATTCAGACATCCGTACACTTTGTGAGATGAAACACGAGACTGCATTCAAGCCACTGCAAGGAAATCCAGCCGTCTTTCGAGTGAGGGCTTCTCGGTGTATATTCCACTTGAGTTAGCAAACTCCGGGTTCCTCCCTCTTACCTATTGCTGAGAGAAGCCTCCTCTTGAGGTGCTTGTGGAAACTTGGCCTACCTCTTGAGTCTAAGCCAGGGAATCAGCTCTCATCTCGAGACGATTTGGGATACACGGAGCATTACTCGAGTTGTTGTGCTGAACTTAGTGTTCCTCCACACTTGGGACGGTGTTCTCAGGGAATCTCTGGAGTTGCCTAAAAGATGTCAAGCCACAGGTCGTGTTTTCGGGGGAACGTGGGATGGCTCTGGAGCCAATGCAGGGAAATCGGGCCTCATCTTGAGTTGATCTGGGGTACACGGGGCTATTTCACGTTGCTGGGGTGACCTCAGGTTCCCTCTAGATTTGTGACAGTGTTCTAGGGGACTGTCTCGAGATCCATCAAACCAGTCGAGGCTCCTTACATGTTTGATGGGGATCGCGCAATTGCTCTGCATGCAATGAGGGTAATCGGGCCTCATCTCACTTCGAGGGGGAAGTCTCATGGTTTTTCTCGAGTTGCGGCGGTAAGCTGAGTTATATTCTCGAGTTATCGTGGGGATGACCTGGCAAAACTCTCGTTTGTTCAGCGAGGTCAGGACTCCTGTCTAGTAAAGAGGGACTCCTCAGGAATCTCTTCGAGGCTTGGCAGGGCAATAGGGATGCTTCTCGACGTGAGGCAGCAGACCAAGGGTCCCTGTCCGGTAGCCAAAGGATATTGGGATTCCTATCAATGTTCAAGAGGAGTCAGGCATCTGCACCTTTGGAAGCATTCATGTCCACGTGCCTCTCGAGGTGTCAAAGGGATGTGAGGCCTCCTGTCGAGATGAGTCGGGGCCTAAGGTCTTTCTCTAGGCTCTCCACAGAGGATTCAGACATCCCTTCACCTTGTGAGACGGAAGACGAGCCGTCATTCAAGCCACTGCAAGGAAATCAGGCCTTCTTTCCAGTCAGGGCATCTCGGTTTATATTCCACTTGAGGAAGCAAATTCAGAGTAATTTCCACATACCTTTTGCTGAGAGAAGCCTCTCTTGAGGTCCTTGTGGAAAGTTGCCAAACCTCTTGAGTCTACGCCAGGGAATCAGCTCTCATCTCGAGAAGTTTCGGGGTACACAGAGCATTCCTCGAGTTGCTGTGCTGAACTTGGTGTTTCTCTAGACATGGGACGGTGTTCTCGGCGAATCTCTTACATTGCCTAAGGGCAGTGAAGCCACTGGTATTGATTCACCGGGAATACGGGATGGCTCTGGAGTTAATGCAGGGGAATTGGGCCTCATCTCGAGTTGATTTTGGGTACATGGACGTTTTTCGCGTTGCTGGTGTGACCTCATGGTTCTTCTAGACTTCTGACAGTGATCTTGGGGACTCTCTCGAGATCCATCAAGCAAGAGGATGCTCCTTACCTGTTTGATGGGGATCACGCAATTGCTATGCATGCAATGCAGGGGAATCGGGCCTCATCTCGCTTCGAGGGGGAAGTCTCATGGTTGTTCTCGAGTTGCGGCGGGAACCTGGGGTATATACTCGAAGTACGGCGGGGATGGCCCTTCAGAAGTCGTGTTTGTTCAGCGACGTCAGGCCTACTGCCTAGATACGAGGGACACCTCAGGAATTTCTTCGAGGCTTGGCAGGGCAAAACTGATGCTTCTCGAGGTGAGGCGGGAGACCCAAGGTCGCTTTCCAGTAGACACAGGGATATTGGGATTCCTATCAATGTTCAATAGTAGTCAGGCTTCGTCACTTTTTGAAGCATTATACTCTGCCAGCCTCTGAATGTGTCAAATGGATGTGAGGCCTCCTGTCGAGATGAGGCGGGGAACTAGGGCTTTCTCTACGATCCCCACAGAGGATTCAGACATCCCTTCACCTTCTCAGATGAAAGACGATCCTGCATTCAAGCCACTGCAAGGGAATCTTGCCTTTTTTAAAGGCAAGACTTCGCTGTGTATATTATACTTGCGGCAGAAAACTCAGGGTCACTACTAAATACCTATTGCTGAGAGAAGCCTCCTCTTGAAGTGCTTGAGGAAAGTTGGCATACGTCTTGAGTCTAAGCCAGGGAATCAGCTCTCATCTCGTGAAGATACAGGGATCACGGTGCATTCCTCAAGTGGCTGTACTGAAGGTGGTATTCTTCTATACTTGGGACGGTGCTCTCAGGGAATCTCTGGACTTGCCTGAATTAAATGAAGAAATTGGTCTTGTTTGAATGGGAACGCAGGATGGCTCTGGAGTCAATGAAGGGTATTGGTCCTCATCTAGAGTTGATTTGGTGTACAGGGAACTATTTCGTGTTGCTGGGGTGACCTCAGGGTCCCTCTAGCCTTGTGACAGTGATGTTGGGGACTCTCTCGAGATCCACCAAGCAAGTCGAGGCTCCTTACATGTTTGATGGGGATCACACAGTTTTTCTGCAGGCAATGCAGGGGAATCCGGCCTCATCTCGCTTCCAGGGGGAAGTCTCATGGTTTTTCTCGAGTTACGGCGGGAACCTGTGTTATATTCTCGAGTTGCAGCGGGGATGGCCCTTCAAAACTTCTCTTTGTTCAGCAAACTCAGGACTCCTGTTTAGTTACGAGGGACACCTCAGGATTCTCTTTGACGCGAGGCAGGGCAAAACGGACACTTCTCGAGGTGAGGGGGAGGCCCAGGGTCCCTTTCCAGTAGCCGCAGGGATATTGGGATTCCTTTCAATGTTCAACAGGAGTTAGGCATCCCCATTCTTTGTCGGATTGAACTCCGGGTGCCTCTCGATGTGTCAAAAGGATATGAGGCCTCCTTTCGAGATGAGAAGGTTACCAAGGCTTTCCCTATGGCCTCCACAGGAGATTGAGACATCGATTCACCTTGTGAGATGAAAGATGAGCCTGTATTCAATCTACTGCTAGCAAACCTGGCCTTCATTCGAGTCAGGGCATCTCGGTGGATATTCCACTTCAGGCAGGAAAATCAGGTTCCCTCCCATATACGTATTTCTGAGAGAGGCCTCCTCTTGAGGTGCGTGTGGATAGTTGGCCTACCTCTTGAGTCTAAGCCAGGGAGTCAGCTCGCATCTTGAGAGGATTCGGGGTACATGGAGCATCCTTCGAGTTGCTCGTTGAACTTGGTGTTCCTCTAGTGTTGGCGCGGTGTTCTCGGGGAATCTCTGGAGTTGCCTAAATGAAATCAAACCAATGGGCATGTTTGAAGGGGAATGCAGGATGGCTCTGAAGTCAATGCAGGGGATTCGGGCCTCATCTCTGGTTGATTTCGGGTACACGGAACTATTTCGCATTCTCCGGTGACCTCAGGGTCCCTCTAGGCTTGTGACAGTGTTCTTGTGGACTGTCTCGAGATGCATCAAGCAAGTCGAGGCTCCTTGCATCTTTGATGGGGATCACGCAGTTGTTCTGCATGCAACGCAGGGGAATCCGGCGTCATCTCGCTTCCAGGGGAAGTCTCATGGTTTTTCTCGAGTGGCGGCGGGAACCTGTGTTATATTCTCGAGTTACAGCGGGGATGGACCTTAAAAATTGTGTTTGTTCAGGGACGTCAGGACCCCTATCTAGTTCCGCGTGACACCTCAGGAATCTCTTCGACGCTTGACAGGGCAAAACGGACATTTCTCGAGGTGAAGCGCGAGGCCCAGTATCCCTTTCCAGTAGCCGCAGGGATATTGGGATTCCTATCAATGTTCAAGACGAGTGAGGCTTTGTCAGCTTTTGAAGCACTGAACTCCGCTTGCCTCTGTAGGTTTCAAGGGGATGTTACGCCTCCTGTCGAGATGCAGCAGGGATCTAAGTCTTTCTCTAGGGTCTCCAGAGGGGATTCAGACATCCGTACACCTTGTGAGATGAAAGACGAGACTGCATTCAAGCCACTGCAAGGAAATACAGCCTTCTTTCGAGTGAGGGCTTCTCGGTGTATATTCCACTTGAGTTAGCAAACTCCGGGTTCCTCCCTCTTACCTATTGCTGAGAGAAGCCTCCTCTTGAGGTGCTTGTGGAAACTTGGCCTACCTCTTGAGTCTAAGCCAGGGAATCAGCTCTCATCTCGAGACGATTTGGGATACACGGAGCATTACTCGAGTTGTTGTGCTGAACTTAGTGTTCCTCGAGACTTGGGACGGTGTTCTCAGGGAATCTCTGGAGTTGCCTAAAGGATGTCAAGCCACAGGTCGTGTTTTCTGGGGAATGTGGGATGGCTCTGGAGTCAATGCAGGGAAATTGGTCCTCATCTTGAGTTGATCTGGGGTACACGGGGCTATTTCACGTTGCTGGGGTGACCTCAGGTTCCCTCTAGACTTGTGACAGTGTTCTAGGGGACTGTCTCGAGATCCATCAAACCAGTCGAGGCTCCTTACATGTTTGAAGCGGATCGCGCAATTGCTCTGCATGCAATGAGGGTAATCGGGCCTCATTTCACTTCGAGGGGGAAGTCTCATGGTTTTTCTCGAGTTGCGGCGGTAAGCTGAGTTATATTCTCGAGTTATCGCGGGGATGACCTGGCAAAACTCTCGTTTGTTCAGCGACGTCAGGACTCCTGTCTAGTAAAGAGGGACTCCTCAGGAATCTCTTCGAGGCTTGGCAGGGCAATAGGGATGCTTCTCGACGTGAGGCAGCAGACCAAGGGTCCCTGTCCGGTAGCCAAAGGATATTGGGATTCCTATCAATGTTCAAGAGGAGTCAGGCATTTGCACCTTTGGAAGCATTCATCTCCACGTGCCTCTCAAGGTGCAAAAGGGATGTGAGGCCTCCTGTCGAGATGAGTCGTGGCCCAAGGTCTTTCTCTAGGCTCTCCACAGAGGATTCAGACATCCCTTCACCTTGTGAGACGGAAGACGAGCCGTCTTTCAAGCCACTGCAAGGAAATCAGGCCTTCTTTCCAGTCAGGGCATCTCGGTTTCTATTCCACTTGAGGAAGCAAATTCAGAGTAATTTCCACATACCTTTTGCTGAGAGAAGCCTCTCTTGAGGTTCTTGTGGAAAGTTGCCAAACCTCTTGAGTCTACGCCAGGGAATCAGCTCTCATCTCGAGAAGTTTCGGGGTACACAGAGCATTCCTCGAGTTGCTGTGCTGAACTTGGTGTTTCTCTAGACATGGGACGGTGTTCTTGGGGAATCTCTGGCATTGCCTAAGGGCAGTGAAGCCATTGGTATTGATTCACGGGGAATACGGGATGGCTCTGGAGTTAATGCAGGGGAATTGGGCCTCATCTCGAGTTGATTTTGGGTACATGGACGTTTTTCGCGTTGCTGGTGTGACCTCATGGTTCTTCTAGACTTCTGACAGTGATCTTGGGGACTCTCTCGAGATCCATCAAGCAAGAGGATGCTCCTTACCTGTTTAATGGGGATCACGCAATTGCTATGCATGCAATGCAGGGGAATCGGGCCTCATCTCGCTTCGAGGGTGAAGTCTCATGGTTGTTCTCGAGTTGCGGCGGGAACCTGGGGTATATACTCGATGTACGGCGGGGATGGCCCTTCAGAACTCGTGTTTGTTCAGCGACGTCAGGCCTACTGCCTAGATACGAGGGACACCTCAGGAATTTCTTCCAGGCTTGGCAGGGCAAAACTGATGCTTTTCGAGGTGAGGCGGGAGACCCAAGGTCGCTTTCCAGTAGACACAGGGATATTGGGATTCCTATCAATGTTCAATAGTAGTCAGGCTTCGTCACTTTTTGAAGCATTGTACTCTGCCAGCCTCTGAATGTGTCAAATGGATGTGAGGCCTCCTGTCGAGATGAGGCGGGGAACTAGGGCTTTCTCTACGATCCCCACAGAGGATTCAGACATCCCTTCACCTTCTGAGACGAAAGACGATCCTGCATTCAAGCCACTGCAAGGGTAACTTGCCTTCTTTCAAGGCAAGACTTCGCTGTGTATATTATACTTGTGGCAGCAAACTCAGGGTCACTCCTAAATACCTATTGCTGAGAGAAGCCTCCCCTTTAGGTGCTTGAGGAACGTTGGCATACGACTTGAGTCTAAGCCAGGGAATCAGCTCTCATCTCGAGACAATTCAGGGTACACGGTGCATTCCTCGAGTGGCTGTACTGAAGGTGGTATTCTTCTATACTTGGGACGGTGTTCTCAGGGAATCTCTGGACTTGCCTGAATTAAATCAGGAAATTGGTCTTGTTTGAATGGGAACGCAGGATGGCTCTGGAGTCAATGAAGGGGAATTGGTCCTCATCTAGAATTGATTTGGTGTACAGGGAACTATTTCGTGTTGCTGGGGTGACCTCAGGGTCCCTCTAGCCTTGTGACAGTGATGTTGGGGACTCTCTCGAGATCCACCAAGCAAGTCGAGGCTCCTTACATGTTTGATGGGGATCACACAGTTGTTCTGCAGGCAATGCAGGGGAATCCGGCCTCATCTCGCTTCCAGGGGGAAGTCTCATGGTTTTTCTCGAGTTACGGCAGGAACCTGTGTTATATTCTCGAGTTGCAGCGGGGATGGCCCTTCAAAACTTGTGTTTGTTCAGGGACGTCAGGACCCCTGTCTAGTTACGAGTGACACCTCAGGAATCTCTTCGACGCTTGACAGGGCAAAACGGACATTTCTCGAGGTGAAGCGGGAGGCCCAGTGTCCCTTTCCAGTAGCCGCAGGGATATTGGGATTCCTATCAATGTTCAAGACGAGTCAGGATTTGTCAGCTTTTGAAGCACTGAACTCCGCTTGCCTCTGTAGGTGTCAAGGGGATGTTACGCCTCCTGTCGAGATGCAGCAGGGATCTAGGTCTTTCTCTAGGGTCTCCAGAGCAGATTCAAACATCCGTACACCTTGTGAGATGAAAGACGAGACTGCATTCAAGCCACTGCAAGGAAATCCGGCCGTCTTTCGAGTGAGGGCTTCTCGGTGTATATTCTACTTGAGTTAGCAAACTCCGGGTTCCTCCCTCTTACCTATTTCTGAGAGAAGCCTCCTCTTGAGGTGCTTGTGGAAACTTGGCCTACCTCTTGAGTCTAAGCCAGGGAATCAGCTCTCATCTCGAGACGATTTGGGATACACGGAGCATTACTCGAGTTGTTGTGCTGAACTTAGTGTTCCTCGAGACTTGGGACGGTGTTCTCAGGGAATCTCTGGAGTTGCCTAAAGGATGTCAAGCCACAGGTCATGTTTTCTGGGGAACGTGGGATGGCTCTGGAGTCAATGCCGGGAAATCGGGCCTCATCTTGAGTTGATCTGGGTTACACGGGGCTATTTCACGTTGCTGGGGTGACCTCAGGTTCCCTCTAGATTTGTGACAGTGTTCTAGGGGACTGTCTCGAGATCCATCAAACCAGTCGAGGCTCCTTACATGTTTGATGGGGATCGCGCAATTGCTCTGCATGCAATGAGGCTAATCGGGCCTCATCTCACTTCGAGGGGGAAGTATCATGGTTTTTCTCGAGTTGCGGCGGTAAGCTGAGTTATATTCTCGAGTTATCGCGGGGATGACCTGGCAAAACTCTCGTTTGTTCAGCGACGTCAGGACTCCTGTCTAGTAAAGAGGGACTCCTCAGGAATCTCTTCGAGGCTTGGCAGGGCAATAGGGATGCTTCTCGACGTGAGGCAGCAGACCAAGGGTCCCTGTCCGGTAGCCAAAGGATATTGGGATTCCTATCAATGTTCAAGAGGAGTCAGGCATCTGCACCTTTGGAAGCATTCATGTCCCCGTGCCTCTCGAGGTGTCAAAGGGATATGAGGCCTCCTGTCGAGATGAGTCGGGGCCTAAGGTCTTTCTGTAGGCTCTCCACAGAGGATTCAGACATCCCTTCACCTTGTGAGACGGAAGACGAGCCGTCATTCAAGCCACTGCAAGGAAATCAGGCCTTCTTTCCAGTCAGGGCATCTCGCTTTATATTCCACTTGAGGAAGCAAATTCAGAGTAATTTCCACATACCTTTTGCTGAGAGAAGCCTCTCTTTAGGTCCTTGTGGAAAGTTGCCAAACCTCTTGAGTCTACGCCAGGGAATCAGCTCTCATCTCGAGAAGTTTCGGGGTACACAGAGCATTCCTCGAGTTGCTGTGCTGAACTTGGTGTTTCTCTAGACATGGGACGGTGTTCTCGGGGAATCTCTGGCATTGCCTAAGGGCAGTGAAGCCACTGGTATTGATTCACGGGGAATACGGGATGGCTCTGGAGTTAATGCAGGGGAATTGGGCCTCATCTCGAGTTGATTTTGGGTACATGGACGTTTTTCGCGTTGCTGGTGTGACCTCATGGTTCTTCTAGACTTCTGACAGTGATCTTGGGGACTCTCTCGAGATCCATCAAGCAAGAGGATGCTCCTTACCTGTTTGATGGGGATCACGCAATTGCTATGCATGCACTGCAGGGGAATCGGGCCTCATCTCGCTTCGAGGGGGAAGTCTCATGGTTGTTCTCGAGTTGCGGCGGGAACCCGGGGTATATACAGGAGGTACAGCGGGGATGGCCCTTCAGAACTCGTGTTTGTTCAGCGACGTCAGGCCTACTGCCTAGATACGAGGGACACCTCAGGAATTTCTTCGAGGCTTGGCAGGGCAAAACTGATGCTTCTCGAGGTGAGGCAGGAGACCCAAGGTCGCTTTCCAGTAGACATAGGGATATTGGGATTCCTATCAATGTTCAATAGTAGTCAGGCTTCGTCACTTTTTGAAGCATTGTACTCTGCCAGCCTCTGAATGTGTCAAATGGATGTGAGGCCTCCTGTCGAGATGAGGCGGGGAACTAGGGCTTTCTCTACGATCCCCACAGAGGATTCAGACATCCCTTCACCTTCTGAGACGAAAGACGATCCTGCATTCAAGCCACTGCAAGGGAATCTTGCCTTTTTTAAAGGCAAGACTTCGCTGTGTATATTATACTTGTGGCAGAAAACTCAGGGTCACTACTAGATACCTATTGCTGAGAGAAGCCTCCTCTTGAAGTGCTTGAGGAAAGTTGGCATACGTCTTGAGTCTAAGCCAGGGAATCAGCTCTCATCTCGTGACGATACAGGGATCACGGTGCATTCCTCGAGTGGCTGTACTGAAGCTGGTATTCTTCTATACTTGGGACGGTGTTCTCAGGGAATCTCTGGACTTGCCTGAATTAAATCAAGAAATTGCTCTTGTTTGAATGGGAACGCAGGATGGCTCTGGAGTCAATGAAGGGTATTGGTCCTCATCTAGAGTTGATTTGGTTTACAGGGAACTATTTCGTGTTGCTGGGGTGACCTCAGGGTCCCTCTAGCCTTGTGACAGTTATCTTGGGGACTCTATCGAGATCCATCAAGCAAGTCGAGGCTCCTTACATGTTTGATGGGGATCACACAGTTGTTCTGCATGCAATGCAGGAGAATCCGGCCTCATCTCGGTTCCAGGGGGAAGTCTCATGGTTTTTCTCGAGTTGCGGCGGGAACCTGTGTTATATTCTCGAGTTGCAGCGGGGATGGCCCTTCAAAACTTGTGTTTGTTCAGCAAAGTCAGGACACCTGTCTAGTTACCAGGGACACCTCACGAATCTCTTTGACGCGAGGCAGGGCAAAACGGACACTTCTCGAGGTGAGGGGGAAGGCCCAGTGTCCCTTTCCAGTAGCCTCAGGGATATTGGGATTCCTATCAATGTTCAATAGTAGTCAGGCTTCCTCACTTTTTTGAAGCATTGTACTCTGCCAGCCTCTGAATGTGTCAAATGGATGTGAGGCCTCCTGTCGAGATGAGGCGGGGAACTAGGGCTTTCTCTACGATCCCCACAGAGGATTCAGACATCCCTTCACCTTCTGAGACGAAAGACGATCCTGCATTCAAGCCACTGCAAGGGAAACTTGCCTTCTTTCAAAGCAAGACTTCGCTGTGTATATTATACTTGTGGCTGCAAACTCAGGGTCACTCCTAAATACCTATTGCTGAGAGAAGCCTCCCCTTTAGGTGCTTGAGGAAAGTTGGCATACGACTTGAGTCTAAGCCAGGGAATCAGCTCTCATCTCGAGACGATTCAGGGTACACGGTGCATTCCTCGAGTGGCTGTACTGAAGGTGGTATTCTTCTATACTTGGGACGGTGTTCTCAGGGAATCTCTGGACTTGCCTGAATTAAATCAGGAAATTGGTCTTGTTTGAATGGGAACGCAGGATGGCTCTGGAGTCAATGAAAGGGAATTGGTCCTCATCTAGATTTGATTTGGTGTACAGGGAACTATTTCGTGTTGCTGGGGTGACCTCAGGGTCCCTCTAGCCTTGTGACAGTGATGTTGGGGACTCTCTCGAGATCCACCAAGCAAGTCGAGGCTCCTTACATGTTTGATGGGGATCACACAGTTGTTCTGCAGGTAATGCAGGGGAATCCGGCCTCATCTCGCTTCCAGGGGGAAGTCTCATGGTTTTTCTCGAGTTACGGCGGGAACCTGTGTTATATTCTCGAGTTGCAGCAGGGATGGCCCTTCAAAACTTCTGTTTGTTCAGCAAACTCAGGACTCCTGTTTAGTTACGAGGGACACCTCAGGATTCTCTTTGACGCGAGGCAGGGCAAAACGGACACTTCTCGAGGTGAGGGGGGAGGCCCAGGGTCCCTTTCCAGTAGCCACAGGGATATTGGGATTCCTATCAATGTTCAACAGGAGTTAGGCATACCCATTCTTTGTCGGATTGAACTCCGGGTGCCTCTCGATGTGTCAAAAGGATATGAGGCCTCCTTTCGAGATGAGAAGGTTACCAAGGCTTTCCCTATGGCCTCCACAGGAGATTGAGACATCGATTCACCTTGTGAGATGAAAGATGAGCCTGTATTCAATCTACTGCTAGCAAACCCGGCCTTCTTTCGTGTCAGGGCATCTCGGTGGATATTCCACTTCAGGCAGCAAACTCAGGTTCCCTCCCACATACCTATTTCTGAGAGAGGCCTCCTCTTGCGGTGCGTGTGGATAGTTGGCCTACCTCTTTAGTCTAAGGCAGGGAGTTACCTCGCATCTTGAGAGGATTCGGGGTACATGGAGCATCCTTCGAGTTGCTCGTTGAACTTGGTGTTCCTCTAGCGTTGGCGCGGTGTTCTCGGGGAATCTCTGGAGTTGCCTAAATGAAATCAAACCAATGGGCATGTTTGAAGGGGAATGCAGGATGGCTCTGAAGTCAATGCAGGGGATGCGGGCTTCATCTCTGGTTGATTTCGGGTACATGGAACTATTTCGCATTCTCCGGTGACCTCAGGTTCCCTCTAGATTTGTGACAGTGTTCTAGGGGACTGTCTCGAGATCCATCAAACCAGTCGAGGCTCCTTACATGTTTGATGGGATCGCGCAATTGCTCTGCATGCAATGAGGGTAATCGGGCCTCATCTCATTTCGAGGGGGAAGTCTCATGGTTCTTCTCGAGTTGCGGCGGTAAGCTGAGTTATATTCTCGAGTTATCGCGGGGATGACCTGGCAAAACTCTCGTTTGTTCAGCAACGTCAGGACACCTGTCTAGTAAAGAGGGACTCCTCAGGAATCTCTTCGAGGCTTGGAAGGGCAATAGAGATGTCTCTCGACGTGAGGCAGCAGACCAAGTGTCCCTGTCCGGTAGCCAAAGGATATTGGGATTCCTATCAATGTTCAAGAGGAGTCAGGCATCTGCACCTTTGGAAGCATTCATGTCCACGTGCCTCTCGAGGTGTCAAAGGGATGTGAGGCCTCCTGTCGAAATGAGTCGGGGCCTAAGGTCTTTCTCTAGGCTCTCCACAGAGGATTCAGACATCCCTTCACCTTGTGAGACGGAAGACGAGCCGTCATTCAAGCCACTGCAAGGAAATCAGGCCTTCTTTCCAGTCAGGGCATCTCGGTTTCTACTCCACTTGAGGAAGCAAATTCAGAGTAATTTCCACATACCTTTTGCTGAGAGAAGCCTCTCTTGAGGTTCTTGTGGAAAGTTGCCAAACCTCTTGAGTCTACGCCAGGGAATCAGCTCTCATCTCGAGAAGTTTCGGGGTACACAGAGCATTCCTCGAGTTGCTGTGCTGAACTTGGTGTTTCTCTAGACATGGGACGGTGTTCTCGGGGAATCTCTGGCATTGCCTAAGGGCAGTGAAGCCACTGGTATTGATTCACGGGGAATACGGGATGGCTCTGGAGTTAATGCAGGGGAATTGGGCCTCATCTCGAGTTGATTTTGGGTACATGGACGTTTTTCGCGTTGCTGGTGTGACCTCATGTTTCTTCTAGACTTCTGACAGTGATCTTGAGGACTCTCTCGAGATCCATCAAGCAAGAGGATGCTCCTTACCTGTTTGATGGGGATCACGCAATTGCTATGCATGCAATGCAGGGGAATCGGGCCTCATCTCGCTTCGAGGGGGAAGTCTCATGGTTGTTCTCGAGTTGCGGCGGGAACCCGGGGTATATACTCGAGGTATGGCGGGGATGGCCCTTCAGAACTCGTGTTTGTTCAGCGACGTCAGGCCTACTGCCTAGATACGAGGGACACCTCAGGAATTTCTTCGAGGCTTGGCAGGACAAAACTGATGCTTCTCGAGGTGAGGCGGGAGACCCAAGGTTGCTTTCCAGTAGACACAGGGATATTGGGATTCCTATCAATGTTCAATAGTAGTCAGGCTTCGTCACTTTTTGAAGCATTGTACTCTGCCAGCCTCTGAATGTGTCAAATGGATGTGAGGCCTCCTGTCGAGATGAAGCGGGGAACTAGGGCTTTCTCTACGATCCCCACAGAGGATTCAGACATCCCTTCACCTTCTGAGACGAAAGACGATCCTGCATTCAAGCCACTGCAAGGGAATCTTGCCTTTTTTAAAGGCAAGACTTTGCTGTGTATATTATACTTGTGGCAGAAAACTCAGGGTCACTACTAAATACCTATTGCTGAGAGAAGCCTCCTCTTGAAGTGCTTGAGGAAAGTTGGCTTACGTCTTGAGTCTAAGCCAGGGAATCAGCTCTCATCTCGTGACGATACAGGGATCACGGTGCATTCCTCGAGTGGCTATACTGAAGGTGGTATTCTTCTATACTTGGGACGGTGTTCTCAGGGAATCTCTGGACTTGCCTGAATTAAATCAAGAAATTGGTCTTGTTTGAATGGGAACGCAGGATGGCTCTGGAGTCAATGAATGGTATTGGTCCTCATCTAGAGTTGATTTGGTTTACAGGGAACTATTTCGTGTTGCTGGGGTGACCTCAGGGTCCCTCTAGTCTTGTGACAGTTATCTTGGGGACTCTATCGAGATCCATCAAGCAAGTCGAGGCTCCTTACATGTTTGATGGGGATCACACAGTTGTTCTGCATGCAATGCAGGGGAATCCGGCCTCATCTCGGTTCCAGGGGGAAGTCTCATGGTTTTTCTCGAGTTACGGTGGGAACCTGTGATATATTCTCGAGTTGCAGCGGGGATGGCCCTTCAAAACTTGTGTTTGTTCAGCAAAGTCAGGACTCCTGTCTAGTTACGAGGGACACCTCACGAATCTCTTTGACGCGAGTCAGGGCAAAACGGACACTTCTCGAGGTGAGGGGGAAGGCCCAGTGTCCCTTTCCAGTAGCCGAAGGATATTGGGATTCCTATCAATGTTCAATAGAAGTCAGGCTTCGTCACTTTTTGAAGCATTGTACTCTGCCAGCCTCTGAATGTGTCAAATGGATGTGAGGCCTCCTGTCGAGATGAGGCGGGGAACTAGGGCTTTCTCTACGATCCCCACAGAGGATTCAGACATCCCTTCACCTTCTGAGACGAAAGACGATCCTGCTTTCAAGCCACTGCAAGGGAAACTTGCCTTCTTTCAAGGCAAGACTTCGCTCTGTATATTATACTTGTGGCAGCAAACTCAGGGTCACTCCTAAATACCTATTGCTGAGAGAAGCCTCCCCTTTAGGTGCTTGAGGAACGTTGGCATACGACTTGAGTCTAAGCCAGGGAATCAGCTCTCATCTCGAGACAATTCAGGGTACACGGTGCATTCCTCGAGTGGCTGTACTGAAGGTGGTATTCTTCTATACTTGGGACGGTGTTCTCAGGGAATCTCTGGACTTGCCTGAATTAAATCAGGAAATTGGTCTTGTTTGAATGGGAACGCAGGATGGCTCTGGAGTCAATGAAGGGGAATTGGTCCTCATCTAGAGTTGATTTGGTGTACAGGGAACTATTTCGTGTTGCTGGGGTGACCTCAGGGTCCCTCTAGCCTTGTGACAGTGATGTTGGGGACTCTCTCGAGATCCACCAAGCAAGTCGAGGCTCCTTACATGTTTGATGGGGATCACACAGTTGTTCTGCAGGCAATGCAGGGGAATCCGGCCTCATCTCGCTTCCAGGGGGAAGTCTCACGGTTTTTCTCGAGTTACGGCAGGAACCTGTGTTATATTCTCGAGTTGCAGCGGGGATGGCCCTTCAAAACTTGTGTTTGTTCAGGGACGTCAGGACCCCTGTCTAGTTACGAGTGACACCTCAGGAATCTCTTCGACGCTTGACAGGGCAAAACGGACATTTCTCGAGGTGAAGCGGGAGGCCCAGTGTCCCTTTCCAGTAGCCGCAGGGATATTGGGATTCCTATCAATGTTCAAGACGAGTCAGGCTTTGTCAGCTTTTGAAGCACTGAACTCCGCTTGCCTCTGTAGGTGTCAAGGGGATGTTATGCCTCCTGTCGAGATGGAGCAGGGATCTAGGTCTTTCTCTAGGGTCTCCAGACGGGATTCACACATCCGTACACCTTGTGAGATGAAAGACGAGACTGCATTCAAGCCACTGCAAGGAAATCCGGCCGTCTTTCGAGTGAGGGCTTCTCGGTGTATATTCCACTTGAGTTAGCAAACTCCGGATTCCTCCCTCTTACCTGTTGCTGAGAGAAGCCTCCTCTTGAGGTGCTTGTTGAAACTTGGCCTACCTCTTGAGTCTAAGCCAGGGAATCAGCTCTCATCTCGAGACGATTTGGGATACACGGAGCATTACTCGAGTTGTTGTGCTGAACTTAGTGTTCCTCGAGACTTGGGACGGTGCTCTCAGGGAATCTCTGGAGTTGCCTAAAGGATGACAAGCCACAGGTCGTGTTTTCTGGGGAACGTGGGATGGCTCTGGAGTCAATGCAGGGAAATCGGGCCTCATCTTGAGTTGATCTGGGGTACGCGGGGCTATTTCACGTTGCTGGGGTGACCTCACGTTCCCTCTAGATTTGTGACAGTGTTCTAGGGGACTGTCTCGAGATCCATCAAACCAGTCGAGGCTCCTTACATGTTTGATGGGGATCGCGCAATTGCTCTGCATGCAGTGAGGGTAATCGGGCCTCATCTCACTTCGAGGGGGAAGTCTCATGGTTTTTCTCGAGTTGCGGCGGTAAGCTGAGTTATATTCTCGAGTTATCGCGGGGATGACCTGGCAAAACTCTCGTTTGTTCAGCGACGTCAGGACTCCTGTCTAGTAAAGAGGGACTCCTCAGGAATCTCTTCGAGGCTTGGCAGGGCAATAGAGATGTCTCTCGAAGTGAGGCAGCAGACGAAGGGTCCCTGTCCGGTAGCCAAAGGATATTGGTATTCCTATCAATGTTCAAGAGGAGTCAGGCATCTGCAACTTTGGAAGCAGTCATGTCCACGTGCCTCTCGAGGTGTCAAAGGGATGTGAGGCCTGTGTCGAGATGAGTCGGGGCCTAAGGTTTTCTCTAGGCTCTCCACAGAGGATTCAGACATCCCTTCACCTTCTGAGACGGAAGACGAGCCGTCATTCAAGCCACTGCAAGGAAATCAGGCCTTCTTTCCAGTCAGGGCATCTCGGTTTATATTCCACTTGAGGAAGCAAATTCAGAGTAATTTCCACATAACTTTTGCTGAGAGAAGCCTCTCTTGAGGTTCTTGTGGAAAGTTGCCAAACCTCTTGAGTCTACGCCAGGGAATCAGCTCTCATCTCGAGAAGTTTCGGGGTACACAGAGCATTCCTCGAGTTGCTGTGCTGAACTTGGTGTTTCTCTAGACATGGGACGGTGTTCTCGGGGAATCTCTGGCATTGCCTAAGTGCAGTGAAGCCACTGGTATTGATTCACGGGGAATACGGGATGGCTCTGGAGTTAATGCAGGAGAATTGGGCCTCATCTCGAGTTGATTTTGGGTACATGGACGTTTTTCGCGTTGCTGGTGTGACCTCATGGTTCTTCTAGACTTCTGACAGTGATCTTGGGGACTCTCGAGATCCATTAAGCAAGAGGATGCTCCTTACCTGTTTGATGGGGATCACGCAATTGCTATGCATGCAATGCAGGGGAATCGGGCCTCATCTCGCTTCTAGGGGGAAGTCTCATGGTTGTTCTCGAGTTGCGGCGGGAACCTGGGGTATATACTCGAGGTACGGCGGGGATGGCCCTTCAGAACTCGTGTTTGTTCAGCGACGTCAGGCCTACTGCCTAGATACGAGGGACACCTCAGGAATTTCTTCGAGGCTTGGCAGGGCAAAACTGATGCTTCTCGAGGTGAGGCGGGAGACCGAAGGTCGCTTTCCAGTAGACACAGGGATATTGGGATTCCTATCAATGTTCAATAGTAGTCAGGCTTCGTCACTTTTTGAAGCATTGTACTCTGCCAGCCTCTGAATGTGTCAAATGGATGTGAGGCCTCCTGTCGAGATGAGGCGGGGAACTAGGGCTTTCTCTACGATCCCCACAGTGGATACAGACATCCCTTCACCTTCTGAGACGAAAGACGATCCTGCATTCAAGCCACTGCAAGGGAATCTTGCCTTCTTTAAAGGCAAGACTTCGCTGTGTATATTATACTTGTGGCAGGAAACTTAGGGTCACTCCTAAATACCTATTGCTGAGAGAAGCCTCCCCTTTAGGTGCTTGAGGAACGTTGGCATACGACTTGAGTCTAAGCCAGGGAATCAGCTCTCATCTCGAGACGATTCAGGGTACACGGTGCATTCCTCGAGTGGCTGTACTGAAGGTGGTATTCTTCTATACTTGGGATGGTGTTCTCAGGGAATCTCTGGACTTGCCTGAATTAAATCAGGAAATTGGTCTTGTTTGAATGGGAACGCAGGATGGCTCTGGAGTCAATGAAGGGGAATTGGTCCTCATCTAGAGTTGATTTGGTGTACAGGGAACTATTTCGTGTTGCTAGGGGGGAACTCAGGGTCCCTCTAGCCTTGTGACAGTGATCTTGGGGACTCTCTCGAGATCCACCAAGCAAGTCGAGGCTCCTTACATGTTTGATGGGGATCACACAGTTGTTCTGCAGGCAATGCAGGGGAATCCGGCCTCATCTCGCTTCCAGGGGGTAGTCTCATGGTTTTTCTCGAGTTACGGCGGGAACCTGTGTTATATTCTCGAGTTACAGTGGGGATGGCCCTTCAAAACTTCTGTTTGTTCAGCAAACTCAGGACTCCTGTTTAGTTACGAGGGACACCTCAGGATTCTCTTTGACGCGAGGCAGGGCAAAACGGACACTTCTCGAGGTGAGGAGGGAGGCCCAGGATTTCCCTTTCCAGTAGCCGCAGGTATATTGGGATTCCTATCAATGTTCAACAGGAGTTAGGCATCTTCACTCTTTGTCGGATTGAACTCCGGGTGCCTCTCGATGTGTCAAAAGGATATGAGGCCTCCTTTCGAGATGAGAAGGTTACCAAGGCTTTCCCTATGGCCTCCACAGGAGATTGAGACATCGATTCACCTTGTGAGATGAAAGATGAGCCTGTATTCAATCTACTGCTAGCAAACCCGGCCTTCTTTCGAGTCAGGGCATCTCGGTGGATATTCCACTTCAGGCAGCAAACTCAGGTTCCCTCCCACATACCTATTTCTGAGAGAGGCCTCCTCTTGAGGTGCGTGTGGATAGTTGGCCTACCTCTTCAGTCTAAGCCAGGGAGTCAGCTCGCATCTTGAGAGGATTCGCGGTACATGGAGCATCCTTCGAGTTGCTCGTTGAACTTGGTGTTCCTCTAGAGTTGGCGCGGTGTTCTCGGGGAATCTCTGGAGTTGCCTAAATGAAATCAAACCAATGGGCATGTTTGAAGAGGAATGCAGGATGGCTCTGAAGTCAATGCAGGGGATTCGGGCCTCATCTCTGGTTGATTTCGGGTACACGGAACTATTTCGCATTCTCCGGTGACCTCAGGGTCCCTCTAGGCTTGTGACAGTGTTTTTGAGGACTGTCTCGAGATGCATCAAGCAGGTCGAGGCTCCTTGCATCTTTGATGGGGATCACGCAGTTGTTCTGCATGCAATGCAGGGGAATCCGGCGTCATCTCGCTTCCAGGGGAAGTCTCATGGTTTTTCTCGAGTGGCGGCGGGAACCTGTGTTATATTCTCGAGTTGCAGCGGGGATGGCCCTTCAAAACTTGTGTTTGTTCAGGGACGTCAGGACCCCTGTCTAGTTACGAGTGACACCTCAGGAATCTCTTCGACGCTTGACAGGGCAAAACGGACATTTCTCGAGGTGAAGCGCGAGGCCCAGTGTCCCTTTCCAGTAGCCGCAGGGATATTGGGATTCCTATCAATGTTCAAGACGAGTCAGGCTTTGTCAGCTTTTGAAGCACTGAACTCCGCTTGCCTCTGTAGGTGTCAAGGGGATGTTAGGCCTCCTGTCGAGATGCAGCAGGGATCTAGGTCTTTCTCTAGGGTCTGCAGAGGGGATTCAGATATCCGTACACCTTGTGAGATGAAAGACGAGACTGCATTCAAGCCACTGCAAGGAAATCCGGCCTTCTTTCGAGTGAGGGCTTCTCGGTGTATATTCCACTTGAGTTAGCAAATTCCGGGTTCCTCCCTCTTACCTATTGCTGAGAGAAGCCTCCTCTTGAGGTGCTTGTGGAAACTTGGCCTACCTCTTGAGTCTAAGCCAGGGAATCAGCTCTCATCTCGAGACGATTTGGCATACACGGAGCATTACTCGAGTTGTTGTGCTGAACTTAGTGTTCCTCGAGACTTGGGACGGTGTTCTCAGGGAAACTCTGGAGTTGCCTAAAGGATGTCAAGCCACAGGTCGTGTTTTCTGGGGAACGTGGGATGGCTCTGGAGTCAATGCAGGGAAATCGGGTCTCATCTTGAGTTTATCTGGGGTACACGGGGCTATTTCACGTTGCTGGGGTGACCTCAGGTTCCCTCTAGATTTGTGACAGTGTTCTAGGGGACTGTCTCAAGATCCATCAAACCAGTCGAGGCTCCTTACATGTTTGATGGGGATCGCGCAATTGCTCTGCATGCAATGAGGGTAATCGGGCCTCATCTCATTTCGAGGGGGAAGTCTCATGGTTTTTCTCGAGTTGCGGCGGTAAGCTGAGTTATATTCTCGAGTTATCGCGGGGATGACCTGGCAAAACTCTCGTTTGTTCAGCGACGTCAGGACTCCTGTCTAGTAAAGAGGGACTCCTCAGGAATCTCTTCGAGGCTTGGCAGGGCAATAGGGATGCTTCTCGACGTGAGGCAGCAGACCAAGGGTCCCTGTCCGGTAGCCAAAGGATATTGGGATTCCTATCAATGTTCAAGAGGAGTCAGGCATCTGCACCATTGGAAGCATTCATGTCCACGTGACTCTCGAGGTGTCAAAGGGATGTGAGGCCTCCTGTCGAGATGAGTCGGGGCCTAAGGTCTTTCTCTAGGCTCTCCACAGAGGATTCAGACATCCCTTCACCTTGTGAGACAGAAGACGAGCCGTCATTCAAGCCACTGCAAGGAAATCAGGCCTTCTTTCCAGTCAGGGCATCTCGGTTTCTATTCCACTTGAGGAAGCAAATTCAGAGTAATTTCCACATACATTTTGCTGAGAGAAGCCTCTCTTGAGGTTCTTGTGGAAAGTTGCCAAACCTCTGGAGTCTACGCCAGGGAATCAGCTCTCATCTCGAGAAGTTTCGGGGTACACAGAGCATTCCTCGAGTTGCTGTGCTGAACTTGGTGTTTCTCTAGACATGGGACGGTGTTCTCGGGGAATCTCTGGCATTGCCTAAGGGCAGTGAAGCCACTGGTATTGATTCACGGGGAATACGGGATGGCTCTGGAGTTAATGCAGGGGAATCGGGCCTCATCTCGAGTTGATTTTGGGTACATGGACGTTTTTCCTGTTGCTGGTGTGACCTCATGGTTCTTCTAGACTTCTGACAGTGATCTTGGGGACTCTCTCGAGATCCATCAAGCAAGAGGATGCTCCTTACCTGTTTCATGGGGATCACGCAATTGCTATGCATGCAATGCAGAGGAATCGGGCCTCATCTCGCTTCGTCGGGGAAGTCTCATGGTTGCTCTCGAGTTGTGGCGGGAACCTGGGGTATATACTCGAGTTACGGCGGCGATGGCCCTTCAGAACTCGTGTCTGTTCAGCAACGTCAGGACTACTGCCTAGATACGAGGGATACTTCAGGAATTTCTTCGAGGCTTGGTAGGGCAAAACTGATGCTTCTCGAGGTGAGGCGGGAGACCCAAGGTGGCTTTCCAGTAGACACAGGGATATTGGGATTCCTATCAATGTTCAATAGTAGTCAGGCTTCGTCACTTTTTGAAGCATTGTACTCTGCCAGCCTCTGAATGTGTCAAATGGATGTGAGGCCTCCTGTCGAGATGAGGCGGAGAACTAGGGCTTTCTCTACGAACCCCACAGAGGATTCAGACATCCTTTCAACATCTGAGACAAAAGACGATCCTGCATTCAAGCCACTGCATGGGAATCTTGCCTTCTTTCAAGGCAAGACTTCGCTGTGTATATTATACTTGTGGCAGAAAACTCAGGGTCACTACTAAATACCTATTGCTGAGAGAAGCCTCCTCTTGAAGTGCTTGAGGAAAGTTGGCATACGTCTTGAGTCTAAGCCAGGGAATCAGCTCTCATCTCGTGACGATACAGGGATCATGGTGCATTCCTCGAGTGGCTGTACTGAAGGTGGTATTCTTCTATACTTGGGACGGTGTTCTCAGGGAATCTCTGGACTTGCCTGAATTAAATCAAGAAATTGGTCTTGTTTGAATGGGAACGCAGGATGGCTCTGGAGTCAATGAAGGGTATTGGTCCTCATCTAGAGTTGATTTGGTTTACAGGGAACTATTTCGTGTTGCTGGGGTGACCTCAGGGTCCCTATAGCCTTGTGACAGTTATCTTGAGGACTCAATCGAGATCCATCAAGCAAGTCGAGGCTCCTTACATGTTTGATGGGGATCACACAGTTGTTCTGCATGCAATGCAGGGGAATCCGGCCTCATCTCGGTTCCAGGGGAAAGTCTCATGGTTTTTCTCGAATTGCGGCGGGAACCTGTGTTATATTCTCGAGTTGCAGCGGGGATGGCCCTTCAAAACTTGTGTTTGTTCAGCAAAGTCAGGACTCCTGTCTAGTTACGAGGGACACCTCAGGAATCTCTTTGACGCGAGGCAGGGCAAAACGGACACTTCTCGAGGTGAGGGGGAAGGCCCAGTGTCCCTTTCCAGTAGCCGCAGGGATATTGGGATTCCTATCAATGTTCAATAGTAGTCAGGCTTCATCCCTTTTTGAAGCATTGTACTCTGCCAGCCTCTCAATGTGTCAAATGGATGTGAGGCCTCCTGTCGAGATGAGGCGGGGAACTAGGGCTTTCTCTACGATCCCCACAGAGGATTCAGACATCCCTTCACCTTCTGAGACGAAAGACGATCCTGCATTCAAGCCACTGCAAGGGAAACTTGCCTTCTTTCAAGGCAAGACTTCGCTGTGTATATTATACTTGTGGCAGCAAACTCAGGGTCACTCCTAAATACCTTTTGCTGAGAGAAGCCTCCCCTTTAGGTGCTTGAGGAAAGTTGGCATACGACTTGACTCTAAGCCAGGGAATCAGCTCTCATCTCGAGACAATTCAGGGTACACGGTGCATTCCTCGAGTGGCTGTACTGAAGGTGGTATTCTTCTATACTTGGGACGGTGTTCTCAGGGAATCTCTGGACTTGCCTGAATTAAATCAGGAAATTGGTCTTGTTTGAATGGGAATGCAGGATGGCTCTGGAGTCAAGGAAGGGGAATTGGTCCTCATCTAGATTTGATTTGGTGTACAGGGAACGATTTCGTGTTGCTGGGGTGACCTCAATGTCCCTCTAGCCTTGTGACAGTGATCTTGGGGACTCTCTCGAGATCCACCAAGCAAGTCGAGGCTCCTTACATGTTTGATGGGGATCACACAGTTGTTCTGCAGGTAATGCAGGGGAATCCGGCCTCATCTCGCTTCCAGGGGGAAGTCTCATGGTTTTTCTCGAGTTACGGCGGGAACCTGTGTTATATTCTCGAGTTGCAGCGGGGAATACCCTTCAAAACTTCTGTTTGTTCAGCAAACTCAGGACTCCTGTTTAGTTAAGAGGGACACCTCAGGATTCTCTTTGACGTGAGGCAGGGCAAAATGGACACTTCTCGAAGTGAGGGGGGAGGCACAGGGTCCCTTTCCAGTAGCCGCAGGGATATTGGGATTCCTATCAATGTTCAACAGGAGTTAGGCATCCCCATTCTTTGTCGGATTGAACTCCGGGTGCCTCTCGATGTGTCAAAAGGATATGAGGCCTCCTTTCGAGATGAGAAGGTTACCAAGGCTTTCCCTATGGCCTCCACAGGAGATTGAGACATCGATTCACCTTGTGAGATGAAAGATGAGCCTGTATTCAATCTACTGCTAGCAAACACGGCCTTCTTTCGAGTCAGGGCATCTCGGTGGATATTCCACTTCAGGTAGCAAACTCAGGTTCCCTCCCACATACCTATTTCTGAGAGAGGCCTCCTCTTGAGGTGCGTGTGGATAGTTGGCCTACCTCTTGAGTCTAAGCCAGGGAGTCAGCTCTCATCTTGAGAGGATTCGGGGTACATGGAGCATCCGTCGAGTTGCTCGTTGAACTTGGTGTTCCTCTAGAGTTGGCGCGGTGTTATCGGGGAATCTCTGGAGTTGCCTAAATGAAATCAAACCAATGGGCATGTTTGAAGGGGAATGCCGGATGGCTCTGAAGTCAATGCAGGGGATTCGGGCCTCATCTCTGGTTGATTTCGGGTACACGGAACTATTTCGCATTCTCCGGTGACCTCAGGGTCCCTCTAGGCTTGTGACAGTGTTCTTGTGGACTGTCTCGAGATGCATCAAGCAAGTCGAGGCTCCTTGCATCTTTGATGGGGATCACGCAGTTGTTCTGCATGCAATGCAGGGGAATCCGGCGTCATCTCGCTTCCAGGGGAAGTCTCATGATTTTTCTCGAGTGGCGGCGGGAACCTGTGTTATATTCTCGAGTTGCAGCGGGGATGGCCCTTCAAAACTTGTGTTTGTTCAGGGACGTCAGGACCCCTGTCTAGTTACGAGTGACACCTCAGGAATCTCTTCGACGCTTGACAGGGCAAAACGGACATTTCTCGAGGTGAAGCGCGAGGCCCAGTGTCCCTTTCCAGTAGCCGCAGGGATATTGGGATTCCTATCAATGTTCAAGACGAGTCAGGCTTTGTCAGCTTTTGAAGCACTGAACTCTGCTTGCCTCTGTAGGTGTCAAGGGGATGTTAGGCCTCCTGTCGAGATGCAGCAGGGATCTAGGTCTTTCTCTAGGGTCTGCAGAGGGGATTCAGACATCCGTACACCTTGTGAGATGAAAGACGAGACTGCATTCAAGCCACTGCAAGGAAATCCGGCCTTCTTTCGAGTGAGGGCTTCTCGGTGTATATTCCACTTGAGTTAGCAAACTCCGGGTTCCTCCCTCTTACCTATTGCTGAGAGAAGCCTCCTCTTGAGGTGCTTGTGGAAACTTGGCCTACCTCTTGAGTCTAAGCCAGGGAATCAGCTCTCATCTCGAGACGATTTGGGATACACGGAGCATTACTCGAGTTGTTGTGCTGAACTTAGTGTTCCTCGAGACTTGGGACGGTGTTCTCAGGGAATCTCTGTAGTTGCCTAAAGGATGTCAAGCCACAGGTCCTGTTTTCTGGGGAACGTGGGATGGCTCTGGAGTCAATGCAGGGAAATCGGGCCTCATCTTGAGTTGATCTGGTGTACACGGGGCTATTTCACGTTGCTGGGGTGACCTCAGGTTCCCTCTAGACTTGTGACAGTGTTCTAGGGGACTGTCTCGAGATCCATCAAACCAGTCGAGGCTCCTTACATGTTTGATGGGGATCGCGCAATTGCTCTGCATGCAATGAGGGTAATAGGGCCTCATCTCACTTCGAGGGGGAAGTCTCATGGTTTTTCTCGAGTTGCGGCGGTAAGTTGAGTTATATTCTCGAGTTATCGCAGGTATGACCTGGCAAAACTCTCGTTTGTTCAGCGACGTCAGGACTCCTGTCTAGTAAAGAGGGACTCCTCAGGAATCTCTTCGAGGCTTAGCAGGGCAATAGGGATGCTTCTCGACGTGAGGCAGCAGACGAAGGGTCCCTGTCCGGTAGCCAAAGGATATTGGGATTCCTATCAATGTTCAAGAGGAGTCAGGCATCTGCACCTTTGGAAGCAGTCATGTCCACGTGCCTCTCGAGGTGTCAAAGGGATGTGAGGCCTCCTGTCGAGATGAGTCGGGGCCTAAGGTCTTTCTCTAGGCTCTCCACAGAGGATTCAGACATCCCTTCACCTTGTGAGATGGAAGATGAGCCGTCATTCAATCCACTGCAAGGAAATCAGGCCTTCTTTCCAGTCAGGGCATCTCGGTTTATATTCCACTTGAGGAAGCAAATTCAGAGTAATTTCCACATACATTTTGCTGAGAGAAGCCTCTCTTGAGGTTCTTGTGGAAAGTTGCCAAACCTCTGGAGTCTACGCCAGGGAATCAGCTCTCATCTCGAGAAGTTTCGGGGTACACAGAGCATTCCTCGAGTTGCTGTGCTGAACTTGGTGTTTCTCTAGACATGGGACGGTGTTCTCGGGGAATCTATGGCATTGCCTAAGGGCAGTGAAGCCACTGGTACTGATTCACGGGGAATACGGGATGGCTCTGGAGTTAATGCAGGGGAATCGGGCCTCATCTCGAGTTGAATTTGGGTACATGTCGTTTTTCGCATTGCTGGTGTGACCTCATGTTTCTTCTAGACTTCTGACAGTGATCTTGGGGACTCTCTCGAGATCCATCAAGCAAGAGGATGCTCCTTACCTGTTTCATGGGGATCACGCAATTGCTATGCATGCAATGCAGAGGAATCGGGCCTCATCTCGCTTCGTCGGGGAAGTCTCATGGTTGCTCTCGAGTTGTGGCCGGAACCTGGGGTATATACTCGAGTTACGGCGGGGATGGCCCTTCAGAACTCGTGTTTGTTCAGCGACGTCAGGACTACGGCCTAGATATAAGGGATACTTCAGGAATTTCTTCGAGGCTTGGCAGGGCAAAACTGATGCTTCTCGAGGTGAGGCGGGAGACCCAAGGTCGCTTTCCAGTAGACACAGGGATATTGGGATTCCTATCAATGATCAATAGTAGTCAGGCTTCGTCACTTTTTGAAGCATTGTACTCTGCCAGCCTCTGAATGTGTCAAATGGATGTGAGGCCTCCTGTCGAGATGAGGCGGGGAACTAGGGCTTTCTCTACGATCCCCACAGAGGATTCAGACATCCCTTCACCTCCTGAGACAAAAGACGATCCTGCATTCAAGCCACTGCAAGGGAATCTTGCCTTCTTTCAAGGCAAGACTTCGCTGTGTATATTATACTTGTGGCAGAAAACTCAGGGTCACTCCTAAATAGCTATTGCTGAGAGAAGCCTCCTCTTGAAGTGCTTGAGGAAAGTTGGCATACGTCTTGAGTCTAAGCCAGGGACTCAGCTCTCATCTCGTGACGATACAGGGATCACGGTGCATTCCTCGAGTGGCTGTACTGAAGGTGGTATTCTTCTATACTTGGGACGGTGTTCTCAGGGAATCTCTGGACTTGCCTGAATTAAATCAGGAAATTGGTCTTGTTTGAATGGGAACGCAGGATGGCTCTGGAGTCAATGAAGGGGAATTGGTCCTCATCTAGAGTTGATTTGGTTTACAGGGAACTATTTCGTGTTGCTGGGGTGACCTCAGGGTCCCTCTAGCCTTGTGACAGTGACGTTGGGGACTCTCTCGAGATCCACCAAGCAAGTCGAGGCTCCTTACATGTTTGATGGGGATCACACAGTTGTTCTGCAGGCAATGCAGGGGAATCCGGCCTCATCTCGCTTCCAGGGGGAAGTCTCATGGTTTTTCTCGAGTTACGGCGGGAACCTGTGTTATATTCTCGAGTTGCAGCAGGGATGGCCCTTCAAAACTTCTGTTTGTTCAGCAAACTCAGGACTCCTGTTTAGTTAAGAGGGACACCTCAGGATTCTCTTTGACGCGAGGCACGGCAAAACAGACACTTCTCGAGGTGAGGGGGGAGGCCCAGGGTCCCTTTCCAGTAGCCACAGGGATATTGGGATTCCTATCAATGTTCAACAGGAGTTAGGCATCCCCATTCTTTGTCGGATTGAACTCCGGGTGCCTCTCGATGTGTCAAAAGGATATGAGGCCTCCTTTAGAGATGAGAAGGTTACCAAGGCTTTCCCTATGGCCTCCACAGGAGATTGAGACATCGATTCACCTTGTGAGATGAAAGATGAGCCTGTATTCAATCTACTGCTAGCAAACCCGGCCTTCTTTCGAGTCAGGGCATCTCGGTGGATATTCCACTTCAGGCAGCAAACTCAGGTTCCCTCCCACATACCTATTTCTGAGAGAGGCCTCCTCTTGAGGTGCGTGTGGATAGTTGGCCTAACTCTTCAGTCTAAGCCAGGGAGTCAGCTCGCATCTTGAGAGGATTCGGGGTACATGGAGCATCCTTCGAGTTGCTCGTTGAACTTGGTGTTCCTCTAGAGTTGGCGCGGTGTTTTCGGGGAATCTCTGGAGTTGCCTAAATGAAATCAAACCAATGGGCATGTTTGAAGAGGAATGCAGGATGGCTCTGAAGTCAATGCAGGGGATTCGGGCCTCATCTCTGGTTGATTTCGGGTACACGGAACTATTTCGCATTCTCCGGTGACCTCAGGGTCCCTCTAGGCTTGTGACCGTGTTTTTGAGGACTGTCTCGAGATGCATCAAGCAGGTCGAGGCTCCTTGCATCTTTGATGGGGATCACGCAGTTGTTCTGCATGCAATGCAGGGGAATCCGGCGTCATCTCGCTTCCAGGGGAAGTCTCATGGTTTTTCTCGAGTGGTGGCGGGAACCTGTGTTATATTCTCGAGTTGCAGCGGGGATGGCCCTTCAAAACTTGTGTTTGTTCAGGGACGTCAGGACCCCTGTCTAGTTACGAGTGACACCTCAGGAATCTCTTCGACGCTTGACAGGGCAAAACGGACATTTCTCGAGGTGAAGCGGGAGGCCCAGTGTCCCTTTCCAGTAGCCGCAGGGATATTGGGATTCCTATCAATGTTCAAGACGAGTCAGGCTTTGTCAGCTTTTGAAGCACTGAACTCCGCTTGCCTCTGTAGGTGTCAAGGGGATGTTACGCCTCCTGTCGAGATGCAGCAGGGATCTAGGTCTTTCTCTAGGGTCTGCAGAGGGGATTCAGACATCCGTACACCTTGTGAGATGAAAGACGAGACTGCATTCAAGCCACTGCAAGGAAATCCGGCCTTCTTTCGAGTGAGGGCTTCTCGGTGTATATTCCACTTGAGTTAGCAAACTCCGGGTTCCTCCCTCTTACATATTGCTGAGAGAAGCCTCCTCTTGAGGTGCTTGTGGAAACTTGGCCTACCTCTTGAGTCTAAGCCAGGGAATCAGCTCTCATCTCGAGACGATTTGGGATACACGGAGCATTACTCGAGTTGTTGTGCTGAACTTAAGGTTCCTCGAGACTTGGGACGGTGTTCTCAGGGAAACTCTGGAGTTGCCTAAAGGATGTCAAGCCACAGGTCGTGTTTTCTGGGGAACGTGGGATGGCTCTGGAGTCAATGCAGGGAAATCGGGTCTCATCTTGAGTTGATCTGGGGTACACGGGGCTATTTCACGTTGCTGGGGTGACCTCAGGTTCCCTCTAGATTTGTGACAGTGTTCTAGGGGACTGTCTCAAGATCCATCAAACCAGTCGAGGCTCCTTACATGTTTGATGGGGATCGCGCAATTGCTCTGCATGCAATGAGGGTAATTGGGCCTCATCACACTTCGAGGGGGAAGTCTCATGGTTTTTCTCGAGTTGCGGCGGTAAGCTGAGTTATATTCTCGAGTTATCGCGGGGATGACCTGGCAAAACTCTCGTTTGTTCAGCGACGTCAGGACTCCTGTCTAGTAAAGAGGAACTCCTCAGGAATCTCTTCGAGGCTTGGCAGGGCAATAGGGATGCTTCTCGACGTGAGGCAGCAGACCAAGGGTCCCTGTCCGGTAGCCAAAGGATATTGGGATTCCTATCAATGTTCAAGAGGAGTCAGGCATCTGCACCTTTGGAAGCATTCATGTCCACGTGCCTCTCGAGGTGTCAAAGGGATGTGAGGCCTCCTGTCGAGATGAGTCGGGGCCTAAGGTCTTTCTCTAGGCTCTCCACAGAGGATTCAGACATCCCTTCACCTTGTGAGACGGAAGACGAGCCGTCATTCAAGCCACTGCAAGGAAATCAGGCCTTCTTTCCAGTCAGGGCATCTCGCTTTATATTCCACTTGAGGAAGCAAATTCAGAGTAATTTCCACATATCTTTTGCTGAGAGAAGCCTCTCTTGAGGTTCTTGTGGAAAGTTGCCAAACCTCTTGAGTCTACGCCAGGGAATCAGCTCTCATCTCGAGAAGTTTCGGGGTACACAGAGCATTCCTCGAGTTGCTGTGCTGAACTTGGTGTTTCTCTAGACATGGGACGGTGTTCTCGGGGAATCTCTGGCATTGCCTAAGGGCAGTGAAGCCACTGGTATTGATTCACGGGGAATACGGGATGGCTCTGGAGTTAATGCAGGGGAATTGGGCCTCATCTCGAGTTGATTTTGGGTACATGGACGTTTTTCGCATTGCTGCTGTGACCTCATGGTTCTTCTAGACTTCTGACAGTGATCTTGGGGACTCTCTCGAGATCCATCAAGCAAGAGGATGCTCCTTACCTGTTTGATGGGAATCACGCAATTGCTATGCATGCAATGCAGGGGAATCGGGCCTCATCTCGCTTCGAGGGGGAAGTCTCATGGTTGTTCTCGAGTTGCGGCGGGAACCTGGGGTATATACTCAAGGTACGGCGGGGATGGCCCTTCAGAACTCGTGTTTGTTCAGCGACGTCAGGCCTACTGCCTAGATACGAGGGACACCTCAGGAATTTCTTCGAGGCTTGGCAGGGCAAAACTGATGCTTCTCGAGGTGAGGCGGGAGACCCAAGGTCGCTTTCCAGTAGACACAGGGATATTGGGATTCCTATCAATGTTCAATAGTAGTCAGGCTTCGTCACTTTTTGAAGCATTGTACTCTGCCAGCCTCTGAATGTGTCAAATGGATGTGAAGCCTCCTGTCGAGATGAGGCGGGGAACTAGGGCTTTCTCTACGATCCCCACAGAGGATTCAGATATCCCTTCACCTTCTGAGACGAAAGACGATCCTGCATTCAAGCCACTGCAAGGGAATCTTGCCTTTTTTAAAGGCAAGTCTTCGCTGTGTATATTATACTTGTGGCAGAAAACTCAGGGTCACTACTAAATACCTATTGCTGAGAGAAGCCTCCTCTTGAAGTGCTTGAGGAAAGTTGGCATACGTCTTGAGTCTAAGCCAGGGAATCAGCTCTCATCTCGTGACGATACAGGGATCACGGTGCATTCCTCGAGTGGCTGTACTGAAGGTGGTATTCTTCTATACTTGGGACGGTGTTCTCAGGGAATCTCTGGACTTGCCTGAATTAAATCAAGAAATTGGTCTTGTTTGAATGGGAACGCAGGATGGCTCTGGAGTCAATGAAGGGTATTGGTCCTCATCTAGAGTTGATTTGGTTTACAGGGAACTATTTCGTGTTGCTGGGGTGACCTCAGGGTCCCTATAGCCTTGTGACAGTTATCTTGGGGACTCAATGGAGATCCATCAAGCAAGTCGAGGCTCCTTACATGTTTGATGGGGATCACACAGTTGTTCTGCATGCAATGCAGGGGAATCCGGCCTCATCTCGGTTCCAGGGGAAAGTCTCATGGTTTTTCTCGAGTTGCGGCGGGAACCTGTGTTATATTCTCGAGTTGCAGCGGGGATAGCCCTTCGAAACTTGTGTTTGTTCAGCAAAGTCAGGACTCCTGTCTAGTTACGAGGGACACCTCAGGAATCTCTTTGACGCGAGGCAGGGCAAAACGGACACTTCTCGAGGTGAGGGGGAAGGCCCAGTGTCCCTTTCCAGTAGCCGCAGGGATATTGGGATTCCTATCAATGTTCAATAGTAGTCAGGCTTCGTCCCTTTTTGAAACACTGTACTCTGCCAGCCTCTGAATGTGTCAAATGGATGTGAGGCCTCTTGTCGAGATGAGGCGGGGAACTAGGGCTTTCTCTACGATCCCCACAGAGGATTCAGACATCCCTTCACCTTCTGAGACGAAAGACGATCCTGCATTCAAGCCACTGCAAGGGAAACTTGCCTTCTTTCAAGGCAAGACTTCGCTGTGTATATTATACTTGAGGCAGCAAACTCAGGGTCACTCCTAAATATCTATTGCTGAGAGAAGCCTCCCCTTTAGGTGCTTGAGGAAAGTTGGCATATGACTTGAGTCTAAGCCAGGGAATCAGCTCTCATCTCGAGACAATTCAGGGTACACGGTGCATTCCTCGAGTGGCTGTACTGAAGGTGGTATTCTTCTATACTTGGGACGGTGTTCTCAGGGAATCTCTGGACTTGCCTGAATTAAATCAGGAAATTGGTCTTGTTTGAATGGGAACGCAGGATGTCTCTGGAGTCAAGGAAGGGGAATTGGTCCTCATCTAGAGTTGATTTGGTGTACAGGGAACGATTTCGTGTTGCTGGGGTAACCTCAATGTCCCTCTAGCCTTGTGACAGTGATCTTGGGGACTCTCTCGAGATCCACCAAGCAAGTCGAGGCTCCTTACATGTTTGATGGGGATCACACAGTTGTTCTGCAGGCAATGCAGGGGAATCCGGCCTCATCTCGCTTCCAGGGGGAAGTCTCATGGTTTTTCTCGAGTTACGGCGGGAACCTGTGTTATATTCTCGAGTTGCAGCGGGGATAGCCCTTCAAAACTTCTGTTTGTTCAGCAAACTCAGGACTCCTGTTTAGTTACGAGGGACACCTCAGGATTCTCTTTGACGCGAGGCAGGGCAAAACGGACACTTCTCGAGGTGAGGGGGGAGGCACAGGGTCCCTTTCCAGTAGCCACAGGGATATTGGGATTCCTATCAATGTTCAACAGGAATTAGGCATCCCCATTCTTTGTCGGATTGAACTCCGGGTGCCTCTCGATGTGTCAAAAGGATATGAGGCCTCCTTTCGAGATGAGAAGGTTACCAAGGCTTTCCCTATGGCCTCCACAGGAGATTGAGACATCGCTTCACCTTGTGAGATGAAAGATGAGCCTGTATTCAATCTACTGCTAGCAAACCTGGCCTTCTTTCGAGTCAGGGCATCTCAGTGGATATTCCATTTCAGGCAGCAAACTCAGGTTCCCTCCCACATACCTATTTCTGAGAGAGGCCTCCTCTTGAGGTGCGTGTGGATAGTTGGCCTACCTCTTGAGTCTAAGCCAGGGAGTCAGCTCTCATCTTGAGAGGATTCGGGGTACATGGAGCATCCTTCGAGTTGCTCGTTGAACTTGGTGTTCCTCTAGTGTTGGCGCGGTGTTCTCGGGGAATCTCTGGAGTTGCCTAAATGAAATCAAACCAATGGGCATGTTTGAAGGGGAATGCAGGATGGCTCTGAAGTCAATGCAGGGGATTCGGGCCTCATCTCTGGTTGATTTCGGGTACACGGAACTATTTCGCATTCTCCGGTGACCTCAGGGTCCCTCTAGGCTTGTGACAGTGTTCTTGTGGACTGTCTCGAGATGCATCAAGCAAGTCGAGGCTCCTTGCATCTTAGATGGGGATCACGCAGTTGTTCTGCATGCAATGCAGGGGAATCCGGCGTCATCTCGCTTCCAGGGGAAGTCTCATGGTTTTTCTCGAGTGGCGGCGGGAACCTGTGTTATATTCTCGAGTTGCAGCGGGGATAGCCCTTCAAAACTTGTGTTTGTTCAGGGACGTCAGGACCCCTGTCTAGTTACGAGTGACACCTCAGGAATCTCTTCGACGCTTGACAGGGCAAAACGGACATTTCTCGAGGTGAAGCGGGAGGCCCAGTGTCCCTTTCCAGTAGCCGCAGGGATATTGGGATTCCTATCAATGTTCAAGACGAGTCAGGCTTTGTCAGCTTTTGAAGCACTGAACTCCGCTTGCCTCTGTAGGTGTCAAGGGGATTTTACGCCTCCTGTCGAGATGGAACAGGGATCTAGGTCTTTCTCTAGGGTCTCCAGACGGGATTCACACATCCGTACACTTTGTGAGATGAAAGACGAGACTGCATTCAAGCCACTGCAAGGAAATCCGGCCTTCTTTCGAGTGAGGGCTTCTCGGTGTATATTCCACTTGAGTTAGCAAACTCCGGGTTCCTCCCTCTTACCTATTGCTGAGAGAAGCCTCCTCTTGAGGTGCTTCTGGAAACTTGGCTTACCTCTTGAGTCTAAGCCAGGGAATCAGCTCTCATCTCGAGACGATTTGGGATACACGGAGCATTACTCGAGTTGTTGTGCTGAACTTAGTGTTCCTTGAGACTTGGGACGGTGTTCTCAGGGAATCTCTGGAGTTGCCTAAAGGATGTCAAGCCACAGGTCGTGTTTTCTGGGGAACGTGGGATGGCTCTGGAGTCAATGCAGGGAAATCGGGCCTCATCTTGAGTTGATCTGGGGTACACGGGGCTATTTCACGTTGCTGGGGTGACCTCAGGTTCCCTCTAGACTTGTGACAGTGTTCTAGGGGACTGTCTCAAGATCCATCAAACCAGTCGAGGCTCCTTACATGTTTGATGGGGATCGCGCAATTGCTCTGCATGCAATGAGGTTAATAGGGCCTCATCTCACTTCGAGGGGGAAGTCTCATGGTTTTTCTCGAGTTGCGGCGGTAAGTTGAGTTATATTCTCGAGTTATCGCGGGGATGACCTGGCAAAACTCTCGTTTGTTCAGCGATGTCCGGACTCCTGTCTAGTAAAGAGGGACTCCTCAGGAATCTCTTCGAGGCTTAGCAGGGCAATAGGGATGCTTCTCGACGTGAGGCAGCAGACCAAGTGTCCCTGTCCGATAGCCAAAGGATATTGGGATTCCTATCAATGTTCAAGAGGAGTCAGGCATCTGCACCTTTGGAAGCATTCATGTCCACGTGCCTCTCGAGGTGTCAAAGGGATGTGAGGCCTCCTGTCGAGATGAGTCGGGGCCTAAGGTCTTTCTCTAGGCTCTCCACAGAGGATTCAGACATCCCTTCACCTTGTGAGATGGAAGACGAGCCGTCATTCAATCCACTGCAAGGAAATCAGGCCTTCTTTCCAGTCAGGGCATCTCGGTTTATATTCCACTTGAGGAAGCAAATTCAGAGTAATTTCCACATACCTTTTGCTGAGAGAAGCCTCTCTTGAGGTTCTTGTGGAAAGTTGCCAAACCTCTTGAGTCTACGCCAGGGAATCAGCTCTCATCTCGAGAAGTTTCGGGGTACACAGAGCATTCCTCGAGTTGCTGTGCTGAACTTGGTGTTTCTCTAGACATGGGACGGTGTTCTCGGGGAATCTCTGGCATTGCCTAAGGGCAGTGAAGCCACTGGTACTGATTCACGGGGAATACGGGATGGCTCTGGAGTTAATGCAGGGGAATCGGGCCTCATCTCGAGTTGAATTTGGGTACATGTCGTTTTTCACATTGCTGGTGTGACCTCATGGTTCTTCTAGACTTCTGACAGTGATCTTGGGGACTCTCTCGAGATCCATCAAGCAAGAGGATGCTCCTTACCTGTTTCATGGGGATCACGCAATTGCTATGCATGCAATGCACAGGAATCGGGCCTCATCTCGCTTCGTCGGGGAAGTCTCATGGTTGCTCTCGAGTTGTGGCCGGAACCTGGGGTATATACTCGAGTTACGGCGGGGATGGCCCTTCAGAACTCGTGTTTGTTCAGCGACGTCAGGACTACTGCCTAGATACAAGGGATACTTCAGGAATTTCTTCGAGGCTTGGCAGGGCAAAACTGATGCTTCTCGAGGTGAGGCGGGAGACCCAAGATCGCTTTCCAGTAGACACAGGGATATTGGGATTCCTATCAATGTTCAATAGTAGTCAGGCTTCGTCAATTTTTGAAGCATTGTACTCTGCCAGCCTCTGAATGAGTCAAATGGATGTGAGGCCTCTTGTCGAGTTGAGGCGGGGAACTAGGGCTTACTCTACGATCCCCACGGAGGATTCAGACATCCCTTCACCTTCTGAGACGAAAGACGATCCTGCATTCAAGCCACTGCAAGGGAATCTTGCCTTCTTTCAAGGCAAGACTTCGCTGTGTATATTATACTTGTGGCAGAAAACTCAGGGTCACTCCTAAATACCTATTGCTGAGAGAAGCCTCCTCTTGAAGTGCTTGAGGAAAGTTGGCATACGTCTTGAGTCTAAGCCAGGGACTCAGCTCTCATCTCGTGACGATACAGGGATCACGGTGCATTCCTCGAGAGGCTGTACTGAAGGTGGTATTCTTCTATACTTGGGACGGTGTTCTCAGGGAATCTCTGGACTTGCCTGAATTAAATCAAGAAATTGGTCTTGTTTGAATGGGAACGCAGGATGGCTCTGGAGTCAATGAAGGGGAATTGGTCCTCATCTAGAGTTGATTTGGTTTACAGGGAACTATTTCGTGTTGCTGGGGTGACCTCAGGGTCCCTCTAGCCTTGTGACAGTGATGTTGGGGACTCTCTCGAGATCCACCAAGCAAGTCGAGGCTCCTTACATGTTTGATGGGGATCACACAGTTGTTCTGCAGGCAATGCAGGGGAATCCGGCCTCATCTCGCTTCCAGGGGGAAGTCTCATGGTTTTTCTCGAGTTACGGCGGGAACCTGTGTTATATTCTCGAGTTGCAGCAGGGATGGCCCTTCAAAACTTCTGTTTGTTCAGCAAACTCAGGACTCCTGTTTAGTTACGAGGGACACCTCAGGATTCTCTTTGACGCGAGGCAGGGCAAAACGGACACTTCTCGAGGTGAGGGGGGAGGCCCAGGGTCCCTTTCCAGTAGCCGCAGGGATATTGGGATTCCTATCAATGTTCAACAGGAGTTAGGCATCCCCATTCTTTGTCGGATTGAACTCCGGGTGCCTCTCGATGTGTCAAAAGGATATGAGGCCTCCTTTCGAGATGAGAAGGTTACCAAGGCTTTCCCTATGGCCTCCACAGGAGATTGAGACATCGATTCACCTTGTGAGATGAAAGATGAGCCTGTATTCAATCTACTGCTAGCAAACCCGGCCTTCTTTCGAGTCAGGGCATCTCGGTGGATATTCCACTTCAGGCAGCAAACTCAGGTTCCCTCCCACATACCTATTTCTGAGAGAGGCCTCCTCTTGAGGTGCGTGTGGATAGTTGGCCTACCTCTTGAGTCTAAGCCAGGGAGTCAGCTCTCATCTTGAGAGGATTCGGGGTACATGGAGCATCCTTCGAGTTGCTCGTTGAACTTGGTGTTCCTCTAGTGTTGGCGCGGTGTTCTCGGGGAATCTCTGGAGTTGCCTAAATGAAATCAAACCAATGGGCATGTTTGAAGGGGAATGCAGGATGGCTCTGAAGTCAATGCAGGGGATTCGGGCTTCATCTCTGGTTGATTTCGGGTACACGGATCTATTTCTCATTCTCCGGTGACCTCAGGGTCCCTCTAGGCTTGTGACAGTGTTCTTGTGGACTGTCTCGAGATGCATCAAGCAAGTCGGGGCTCCTTGCATCTTTGATGGGGATCACGCAGTTGTTCTGCATGCAATGCAGGGGAATCCGGCGTCATCTCGCTTCCAGGGGAAGTCTCATGGTTTTTCTCGAGTGGCGGCGGGAACCTGTGTTATATTCTCGAGTTGCAGCGGGGATGGCCCTTCAAAACTTGTGTTTGTTCAGGGACGTCAGGACCCCTGTCTAGTTACGAGTGACACCTCAGGAATCTCTTCGAAGCTTGACAGGGCAAAACGGACATTTCTCGAGGTGAAGCGGGAGGCCCAGTGTCCCTTTCCAGTAGCCGCAGGGATATTGGGATTCCTATCAATGTTCAAGACGGGTCAGGCTTTGTCAGGTTTTGAAGCACTGAACTCCGCTTGCCTCTGTAGGTGTCAAGGGGATGTTAGGCCTCCTGTCGAGATGCAGCAGGGATCTAGGTCTTTCTCTAGGGTCTGCAGAGGGGATTCAGACATCCGTACACCTTGTGAGATGAAAGAAGAGACTGCATTCAAGCCACAGCAAGGAAATCCGGCCTTCTTTCGAGTGAGGGCTTCTCGGTGTACATATCACTTGAGTTAGCAAACTCCGGGTTCCTCCCTCTTACCTATTGCTGAGAGAAGCCTCCTCTTGAGGTGCTTGTGGAAACTTGGCCTACCTCTTGTGTCTAAGCCACGGAATCAGCTCTCATCTCGAGACGATTTGGGATACACGGAGCATTACTCGAGTTGTTGTGCTGAACTTAGTGTTCCTCGAGACTTGGGACGGTGTTCTCAAGGAAACTCTGGAGTTGCCTAAAGGATGTCAAGCCACAGGTCGTGTTTTCTGGGGAACGTGGGATGGCTCTGGAGTCAATGCAGGGAAATCGGGTCTCATCTTGAGTTGATCTGGGGTACACGGGGCTATTTCACGTTGCTGGGGTGACCTCAGGTTCCCTCTAGATTTGTGACAGTGTTCTAGGGGACTGTCTCAAGATCCATCAAACCAGTCGAGGCTCCTTACATGTTTGATGGGGATCGCGCAATTGCTCTGCATGCAATGAGGGTAATCGGGCCTCATCTCACTTCAAGGGGGAAGTCTCATGGTTTTTCTCGAGTTGCGGCGGTAAGCTGAGTTATATTCTCGAGTTATCGCGGGGATGACCTGGCAAAACTCTCGTTTGTTCAGCGACGTCAGGACTCCTGTCTAGTAAAGAGGGACTCCTCAGGAATCTCTTCGAGGCTTGGCAGGGCAATAGGGATGCTTCTCGACGTGAGGCAGCAGACCAAGGGTCCCTGTCCGGTAGCCAAAGGATATTGGGATTCCTATCAATGTTCAAGAGGAGTCAGGCATCTGCACCTTTGGAAGCATTCATGTCCACGTGCCTCTCGAGGTGTCAAAGGGATGTGAGGCCTCCTGTCGAGATGAGTCGGGGCCTAAGGTCTTTCTCTAGGCTCTCCACAGAGGATTCAGACATCCCTTCACCTTGTGAGAAGGAAGATGAGCCGTCATTCAAGCCACTGCAAGGAAATCAGGCCTTCTTTCCAGTCAGGGCATCTTGGTTTATATTCCACTTGAGGAAGCAAATTCAGAGTAATTTCAACATACCTTTTGCTGAGAGAAGCCTCTCTTGAGGTTCTTGTGGAAAGTTGCCAAATCTCTTGAGTCTACGCCAGGGAATCAGCTCTCATCTCAAGAAGTTTCGGGGTACACAGAGCATTCCTCGAGTTGCTGTGCTGAACTTGGTGTTTCTCTAGACATGGGACGGTGTTCTCGGGGAATCTCTGGCATTGCCTAAGGGCAGTGAAGCCACTGGTATTGATTCACGGGGAATACGGGATGGCTCTGGAGTTAATGCAGGGGAATTGGGCCTCATCTCGAGTTGATTTTGGGTACATGGACGTTTTTCGCGTTGCTGGTGTGACCTCATGGTTCTTCTAGACTTCTGACAGTGATCTTGGGGACTCTCTCGAGATCCATCAAGCAAGAGGATGCTCCTTACCTGTTTGATGGGGATCACGCAATTGCTATGCATGCAATGTAGGGGAATCGGGCCTCATCTCGCTTCGAGGGGGAAGTCTCATGGTTGTTCTCGAGTTGCGGCGGGAACCTGGGGTATATACTCGAAGTACGGCGGGGATGGCCCTTCAGAACTCGTGTTTGTTCAGCGATGTCAGGCCTACTGCCTAGATACGAGGGACACCTCAGGAATTTCTTCGAGGCTTGGCAGGGCAAAACTGATGCTTCTCGAGGTGAGGCGGGAGACCCAAGGTCGCTTTCCACTAGACACAGGGATATTGGGATTCCTATCAATGTTCAATAGTAGTCAGGCTTCGTCACTTTTTGAAGCATTGTACTCTGCCAGCCTCTGAATGTGTCAAATGGATGTGAAGCCTCCTGTCGAGATGAGGCGGGGAACTAGGGCTTTCTCTACGATCCCCACAGAGGATTCAGATATCCCTTCACCTTCTGAGACGAAAGACGATCCTGCATTCAAGCCACTGCAAGGGAATCTTGCCTTTTTTAAAGGCAAGTCTTCGCTGTGTATATTATACTTGTGGCAGCAAACTCAGGGTCACTCCTAAATATGAATTGCTGAGAGAAGCCTCCCCTTTAGGTACTTGAGGAAAGTTGGCATACGACTTGAGTCTAAGCCAGGGAATCAGCTCTCATCTCGAGACAATTCAGGGTACACGGTGCATTCCTCGAGTGGCTGTACTGAAGGTGGTATTCTTCTATACTTGGGACGGTGTTCTCAGGGAATCTCTGGACTTGCCTGAATTAAATCAGGAAATTGGTCTTGTTTGAATGGGAACGCAGGATGGCTCTGGAGTCAATGAAGGGGAATTGGTCCTCATCTAGAGTTGATTTGGTGTACAGGGAACGATTTCGTGTTGCTGGGGTGACCTCAATGTCCCTCTAGCCTTGTGACAGTGATCTTGGGGACTCTCTCGAGATCCACCAAGCAAGTCGAGGCTCCTTACATGTTTGATGGGGATCACACAGTTGTTCTGCAGGCAATGCAGGGGAATCCGGCCTCATCTCGCTTCCAGGGGGAAGTCTCATGGTTTTTCTCGAGTTACGGCGGGAACCTGTGTTATATTCTCGAGTTGCAACAGGGATGGCCCTTCAAAACTTCTGTTTGTTCAGCAAACTCAGGACTCCTGTTTAGTTACGAGGGACACCTCAGGATTCTCTTTGACGTGAGGCAGGGCAAAACGGACACTTCTCGAGGTGAGGGGGGAGGCCCAGGGTCCCTTTCCAGTAGCCGCAGGGATATTGGGATTCCTATCAATGTTCAACAGGAGTTAGGCATCCCCATTCTTTGTCGGATTGAACTCCGGGTGCCTCTCGATGTGTCAAAAGGATATGAGGCCTCCTTTCGAGATGAGAAGGTTACCAAGGCTTTCCCTATGGCCTACACAGGAGATTGAGACATTGCTTCACCTTGTGAGATGAAAGATGAGCCTGTATTCAATCTACTGCTAGCAAACCTGGCCTTCTTTCGAGTCAGGGCATCTCGGTGGATATTCCACTTCAGGCAGCAAACTCAGGTTCCCTCCCACATACCTATTTCTGAGAGAGGCCTCCTCTTGAGGTGCGTGTGGATAGTTGGCCTACCTCTTGAGTCTAAGCCAGGGAGTCAGCTCTCATCTTGAGAGGATTCGGGGTACATGGAGCATCCTTCGAGTTGCTCGTTGAACTTGGTGTTCCTCTAGAGTTGGTGCGGTGTTCTCGGGGAATCTCTGGAGTTGCCTAAATGAAATCAAACCAACGGGCATGTTTGAAGGGGAATGCAGGATGGCTCTGAAGTCAATGCAGGGGATTCGGGCCTCATCTCTGGTTGATTTCGGGTACACGGAACTATTTCGCATTCTCCGGTGACCTCAGGGTCCCTCTAGGCTTGTGACAGTGTTCTTGTGGACTGTCTCGAGATGCATCAAGCAAGTCGAGGCTCTTTGCATCTTTGATGGGGATCACGCAGTTCTTCTGCATGCAATGCAGGGGAATCCGGCGTCATCTCGCTTCCAGGGGAAGTCTCAAGGTTTTTCTCGAGTGGCGGCGGGAACCTGTGTTATATTCTCGAGTTGCAGCGGGGATGGCCCTTCAAAACTTGTGTTTGTTCAGGGACGTCAGGACCCCTGTCTAGTTACGAGTGACACCTCAGGAATCTCTTCGACGCTTGACAGGGCAAAACGGACATTTCTCGAGGTGAAGCGGGAGGCCCAGTGTCCCTTTCCAGTAGCCGCAGGGATATTGGGATTCCTATCAATGTTCAAGACGAGTCAGGCTTTGTCAGCTTTTGAAGCACTGAACTCCGCTTGCCTCTGTAGGTGTCAAGGGGATGTTAGGCCTCCTGTCGAGATGCAGCAGGGATCTAGGTCTTTCTCTAGGGTCTGCAGAGGGGATTCAGATATCCGAACACCTTGTGAGATGAAAGACGAGACTGCATTCAAGCCACTGCAAGGAAATCCGGCCTTCTTTCGAGTGAGGGCTTCTCGGTGTATATTCCACTTGAGTTAGCAAACTCCGGGTTCCTCCCTCTTAACTATTGCTGAGAGAAGCCTCCTCTTGAGGTGCTTCTGGAAACTTGGCTTACCTCTTGAATCTAAGCCAGGGAATCAGCTCTCATCTCGAGACGATTTGGGATACACGGAGCATTACTCGAGTTGTTGTGCTGAACGTAGTGTTCCTTGAGAGTTGGGACGGTGTTCTCAGGGAATCTCTGGAGTTGCCTAAAGGATGTCAAGCCACAGGTCGTGTTTTCTGGGGAACGTGGGATGGCTCTGGAGTCAATGCAGGGAAATCGGGCCTCATCTTGAGTTGATCTGGGGTACACGGGGCTATTTCACGTTGCTGGGGTGACCTCAGGTTCCCTCTAGACTTGTGACAGTGTTCTAGGGGACTGTCTCGAGATCCATCAAACCAGTCGAGGCTCCTTACATGTTTGATGGGGATCGCGCAATTGCTCTGCATGCAATGAGGGTAATAGGGCCTCATCTCACTTCGAGGGGGAAGTCTCATGGTTTTTCTCGAGTTGCGGCGGTAAGTTGAGTTATATTCTCGAGTTATCGCGGGGATGACCTGGCAAAACTTTCGTTTGTTCAGGGACGTCAGGACTCCTGTCTAGTAAAGAGGGACTCCTCAGGAATCTCTTCGACGCTTAGCAGGGCAATAGGGATGCTTCTCGACGTGAGGCAGCAGACCAAGTGTCCCTGTCTGATAGCCAAAGGATATTGGGATTCCTATCAATGTTCAAGAGGAGTCAGGCATCTGCACCTTTGGAAGAATTCATGTCCACGTGCCTCTCGAGGTGTCAAAGGGATGTGAGGCCTCCTGTCGAGATGAGTCGGGGCCTAAGGTCTTTCTCTAGGCTCTCCACAGACGATTCAGACATCCCTTCACCTTGTGAGATGGAAGACGAGCCGTCATTCAAGCCACTGCAAGGAAATCAGGCCTTCTTTCCAGTCAGGGCATCTCGGTTTATATTCCACTTGAGGAAGCAAATTCAGAGTAATTTCCACATACCTTTTGCTGAGAGAAGCCTCTCTTGAGGTTCTTGTGGAAAGTTGCCAAACCTCTTGAGTCTACGCCAGGGAATCAGCTCTCATCTCGAGAAGTTTCTGGGTACACAGAGCATTCCTCGAGTTGCTGTGCTGAACTTGGTGTTTCTCTAGACATGGGACGGTGTTCTCGGGGAATCTCTGGCATTGCCTAAGGGCAGTGAAGCCACTGGTATTGATTCACGGGGAATACGGGATGGCTCTGGAGTTAATGCAGGGGAACCGGGCCTCATCTCGAGTTGAATTTGGGTACATGGTCGTTTTTCGCATTGCTGGTGTGATCTCATGGTTCTTCTAGACTTCTGACAGTGATCTTGGGGACTCTCTCGAGATCCATCAAGCAAGACGATGCTCCTTACCTGTTTCATGGGGATCACGCAATTGCTATGCATGCAATGCAGAGGAATCGGGCCTCATCTCGCTTCGTCGGGGAAGTCTCATGGTTGCTCTCGAGTTGTGGCGGGAACCTGGGGTATATACTCGAGTTACGGCGGGGATGGCCCTTCAGAACTCGTGTTTGTTCAGCGACGTCAGGACTACTGCCTAGATACGAGGGATACTTCAGGAATTTCTTCGAGGCTTGGCAGGGCAAAACTGATGCTTCTCGATGTGAGGCGGGAGACCCAAGTTCGCTTTCCAGTAGACACAGGGATATTGGGATTCCTATCAGTGTTCAATAGTAGTCAGGCTTCGTCACTTTTTGAAGCATTGTACTCTGCCAGCCTCTGAATGTGTCAAATGGATGTGAGGCTTCCTGTCGAGATGAGGCGGGGAACTAGGGCTTTCTCTACGATCCCCACAGAGGATTCAGACATCCCTTCACCTTCTGAGACGAAAGACGATCCTGCATTCAAGCCACTGCAAGGGAATCTTGCCTTCTTTCAAGGCAAGACTTCGCTGTGTATATTATACTTGTGGCAGCAAACTCAGGGTCACTCCTAAATACCTATTGCTGAGAGAAGCCTCCCCTTTAGGTGCTTGAGGAACGTTGGTATACGACTTGAGTCTAAGCCAGGGAATCAACTCTCATCTCGAGACGATTCAGGGTACACGGTGCATTCCTCGAGTGGCTGTACTGAAGGTGGTATTCTTCTATACTTGGGACGGTGTTCTCAGGGAATCTCTGGACTTGCCTGAATTAAATGAAGAAATTGGTCTTGTTTGAATGGGAACGCAGGATGGCTCTGGAGTCAATGAAGGGGAATTGGTCCTCATCTAGAGTTGACTTGGTGTACAGGGAACTATTTCGTGTTGCTGGGGTGACCTCAGGGTCCCTCTAGCCTTGTGACAGTGATCTTGGGGACTCTCTCGAGATCCACCAAGCAAGTCGAGTCTCCTTAAATGTTTGATGGGGATCACACAGTTGTTCTGCAGGCAATGCAGGGGAATCCGGCCTCATCTCGCTTCCAGGGGGAAGTCTCATGGTTTTTCTCGAGTTACGGCGGGAACCTGTGTTATATTCTCGAGTTGCAACGAGGATGGCCCGTCAAAACTTCTGTTTGTTCAGCAAACTCAGGACTCCTGTTTAGTTACGAGGGACATCTCAGGATTCTCTTTGACGCGAGGCAGGGCAAAACGGACACTTCTCGAGGTGAGGGGGGAGGCCCACGTTCCCTTTCCAGTAGCCTCAGGGATATTGGGATTCCTATCAATGTTCAACAGGAGTTAGGCATCCTCACTCTTTGACGGATTGAACTCTGGGTGCCTCTCGATGTGTCGAAAGGATATGAGGCCTCCTTTCGAGATGAGAAGGTTACCAAGGCTTTCCCTATGGCCTCCACAGGAGATTGAGACATCGATTCACCTTGTGAGATGAAAGATGAGCCTGTATTCAATCTACTGCTAGCAAACCCGGTCTTCTTTCGAGTCAGGGCATCTCGGTGGATATTCCACTTCAGGCATCAAACTCAGGTTCCCTCCCACATACATATTTCTGAGACAGGCCTCCTCTTGAGGTGCGTGTGGATAGTTGGCCTACCTCTTCAGTCTAAGCCAGGGAGTCAGCTCTCATCTTGAGAGGATTCGGGGTACATGGAGCATCCTTCGAGTTGCTCGTTGAACTTGGTGTTCCTCTAGAGTTGGCGCGGTGTTCTCGGGGAATCTCTGGAGTTGCCTAAATGAAATCAAACCAATGGGCATGTTTGAAGGGGAATGCAGGATGGCTCTGAAGTCAATGCAGGGGATTCGGGCCTCATCTCTGGTTGATTTCGGGTACACGGAACTATTTCGCATTCTCCGGTGACCTCAAGGTCCCTCTAGGCTTGTGACAGTGTTCTTGTGGACTGTCTCGAGATGCATCAAGCAAGTCGAGGCTCCTTGCAACTTTGATGGGGATCACGCAGTTGTTCTGCATGCAATGCAGGGGAATCCGGCGTCATCTCGCTTCCAGGGGAAGTCTCATGGTTTTTCTCGAGTGGTGGCGGGAACCTGTGTTATATTCTCGAGTTGCAGCGGGGATGGCCCTTCAAAACTTGTGTTTGTTCAGGGACGTCAGGACCGCTGTCTAGTTACGACTGACACCTCAGGAATCTCTTCGACGCTTGACAGGGCAAAACGGACATTTCTCGAGGTGAAGCGGGAGGCCCAGTGTCCCTTTCCAGTAGCCGCAGGGATATTGGGATTCCTATCAATGTTCAAGACGAGTCAGGCTTTGTCAGCTTTTGAAGCACTGAACTCCGCTTGCCTCTGTAGGTGTCAAGGGGATGTTAGGCCTCCTGTCGAGATGCAGCAGGGATCTAGGTCTTTCTCTAGGGTCTCCAGAGGGGATACAGACATCTGTACACCTTGTGAGATGAAAGACGAGACTGCATTCAAGCCACTGCAAGGAAATCTGGCCGTCTTTCGAGTGAGGGCTTCTCGGTGTATATTCC